TGAACTTGTTAGGTTTTAGAATCATTCACCAGCGTCAGGCAACATTTCTTGGAAATTTCTCGCGAATTTTGTTTTTCGCTGCAGTCGAATCTTGGAAATTCTTCATTGCAGTTAATACCATTTCGTACGTAATTCGTAGTCAATTATCAATTAGAGAGCTGCACTCGGTTATAAATATAATTCTACTCTCTCGTTGATACCAATGCTGGGAAACCTATACTACCGTTGCACATATGAGTCCCTCGCTGCAGTCAATATTATAGAATCCCACGCCGCAGTCAATGCTAAGAGGTACACGCTGCAGTGAATAGTAATAATCCCACGCAGCAGTCAGTACGAATAATTCTAACTCGCTGTCAATTATTAGATTTTCTTTGTATTTAGTGCTGATAGTCCCACGCCGCAGTGAATCCTGGAGTCCCTCGCTGCCGTCATGCTGAGAACCCCTCGCCGCTGTCAAATCTTGGAGTCCCACGCAGCCGTCAATTTTTGGAGTCCCACGCAGCCGTCAATTCTTGGAGTCCCACGCAGCCGTCAATTCTTTGAGTCCCTCGCTGCCTTCAATACTGAGAATCCCTCGCCGCCGTCAATTCCTGAAATCCCACGCTGCTGTCAATTCTTAGAGTCCCTCGCTGCATTCAGTACTGAGAATCCCACGCCGCTGTCAATCCATGGAGTCCCTCGCTGCCTTCAATGCTTAGAATCCCTCGCCGCAGTCAATCCTTCGAATCCCACGCTGCCTTCAATGCTAAGAATCCCACGCCGCAGTCAATCCTTCGAATCCCACGCTGCCTTCAATGCTAAGAATCCCACGCCGCAGTCAATCCTTGGAATCCCACGCCGCTGTCAATCCTTGGAGTCCCTCGCTGCCTTCAATGCTAAGAGTCCTACGCCGCCGTCAATTCTTGGAGTCCCAACGCTGCGTTCAGTACTGGGAATCCCACGCCGCCGTCAATTCATGGAATCCCACGCTGCAGTCAATTCTTGGAATCCCACGCTGCGGTCAATTCTTGGAATCCCACGCTGCGGTCAATTCTTGGAATCCCTCGCTGCAGTCAATTCTAAAGATCCCACGCCGCTGTCAGTTCTTACTATCCCTCGTTGTTGAGTTTAATTCTAATTAGCATTTTATGTTGGAACATTGCGAAGCTTAAAGTTACGTCGTATCTTTTGCAATTGCTTAACATTTCATGGAATACTGAAAACGAAGAAATATTTCTTCCCTCTATGTTCGATTAAAGTTATGTATGTTTTGGATTTGGATTATTTAACCCATTTTGATAAATATGCTGCTACTATACGAAGTTAATTTATGTCAACCATGTATGGAAATATTTTAAATAGTCAGGATAAAGAGGAGCCAAACGTTTCGTAGTGTCAATCAGTAATTGAAGAAATCATCTCTGAATAAACAGATCAGATTAAATTCGGTACCCAAAAAAAGTCGTCACTTCCATATGTAGATTTTATTAAAACACCCAAAAAGTTTTGTCGAGAATAGATGAAAATTGGATGGTTAAAGTAGAGTGGATGAATTAGATGTTTTCTGGAACTTATTTCAGAATTTTGTTTTTACATTGTTCAATGTTGTTGAAATGTGAAGATTTCTTTCTATTGTTTATTTTTCATCTTTAAAATCTGTTGTGAATGTATGCTGTTGTTGACACTATAAGAAATTTGTTTTCTAGGCATTTGTTAAATTCTGGAGAACAGGAACCCAAAAAAATGTCTTTGTAGCAGTTGTATCAAAGTATTAAAAGAATATACTGATGAAAACGACCATTGGCAGTGAAGTGTCGATGGTCTTATGGTTTCTAAATTGATTCCTACATTAAATCATCAACTCGGCTAAGTCTTCTTAATAGGATACGGCAATATTCTCCTCTCCCTCTCTAATATATTGAGTTTTAAATAACAGGCTAAATCCTTACTCCCAGTATTCTCCAAATGCATAGGCCAAATTATCCATTCTAACACCAGACATTGAATTGATATTGAAGTTTATATATGATTCAAATAAGATATGGGCGAAATTATCCATTATAACATCAGACATTGAATTCAATAGATATTAAAATTTTACATATTCCAGTTTAAAGTACATATTTCAGATATAAAATATATCAAAACAAAATGTTACAAATGGATAGAATTACATCGAATTTTAACAATTACAGAAACAATTTTCATACAAAAAAAAATCTCTTATATAAAATCACTAACAATCTTAACATTATTCAACAATATTGAAATAATTGTGGAAATGTGTATATCATATTAGTTACAATTTTTCAGTTTAGTTTAGTTTTGTTTGGAGTTTGTAGTTAATAGATTCTTAAAAGTAACAAAGTTTAACAGTAAATTCTTTTTAGAGATATTGTGTTTACAGTATTTTTTTGTTTTGTATAAAGTATAAAATTTTTCTACATTTTGTTTAACAAAACTATAATTTATTACAGTTCTTCTGGAACGGAAGTACTTTTCTGATGTGCAAATCTGAAAGTACAATATTAAATTGTTGAACTGAAACGAACCTTACGTCGATTTGATATCCATTGAACATCAAAAATGATGTTTTTTATGATGTATCGTGTGCTTCCCTTTTACGATATATTTTTTACCGTTGAAAACATAGTGGAATTTAAGTGAAACAAACAAAATAAAACCAGAAATAAACACATCATTGGACACAATGGTGATTTAACATTATAAATCAGTATAAACACCGTGTACTAGGAGTTAGTACAGTGACCAATGCATACAACATCAGAGATATCGTAACTAAAAAGAAATTTAAAAAAAAAAAAAAGAGAATAAAAAAAACTGCAACGTTTCTTTGAACCTCCATTTGTGTTGCCCCAATAACATCTTTTCATGGAGTAGCAGTACACCTAGGCGAACAATGTTTTAACACTCAGCATGACAGTTATATGCACCAATTGACTATGCCACTGAAAATATAAAATTAGTTTCGAAGAATTCAACTCAAGCAACCTGAGGTAATGTTAATCTGTTTTTCCTTTGCGAATATTCTGTAGCAGCTTTTCAGTTTAAAAATGTCGTAGATATCAGCAGAAATTTGTAAAAAGAAACGGTATGGATGCATAATTTATATACAAAATCATCATCACTTCATAAGTGCAATATCGCACTATTATCATATCTAAATGAAAGCCTTTAGTAATGTACTTCATTAAAATTACCGACTTCGCTATCGTTCAATAATTAGCATTTCTTCCAATATTTGCTTCTGATTCGAATTTTTTCTTTTTCGATTTCAGTTCTAAAAAACGTGGATTATACTATAAAGTTAAATGGATTTCGCTTACGTTAAACATTTTCTATTAGGTTGGAATTTCTCGCAAAACTGCTTACTGGTGCTGAACGTTATCAGTTTCAGAAGTTTACATTTTTGCTCATGGATCTCAATTTGATTTTTCCACAAATATTGTCATTTCCACATAATTAAATTAGTAAGTAGTATGTAGCTAAAACTAGAAAGAAGAATAATCTTCAAAAATCGGAAAGGAAGTTACCGATACGTAGAATTGTTGATTGTCTATCCCAATTGATATGCCACCGAATAATTTTTGGAATTTTTCTCCCAAAATGCATCAGGTTTTTCTACAGATACGCACAGGAACCGATCAACTGTGTCGTATCGCTATAACTAAAAAGTTTTTTTTTTCACGATATATAAAGGAATTTACCGAGCACACATAGACGACGGACTGTGCATTCAAAATGGTTGCACCCAGATGGTCACTATTGTTATGCATTGATTGTTTCAAAATGTTTTGTCGATTTTAACTTTGAAGGATGTTGTTTGTTTCATTACTACACTTTCCCCGCATATTATGCAGACTTCTACTCTTCAAGTAATAATCCCCTGGATATACGCAGGAACCGATCGACTGCGTCATATCGCTAAAACTAAAGAACAATATGCTTCACGAAATTTCATTGTATTTACCGAGTGTATATAAACCACTTTTCTCAAAATTATATCAAAGTTAATGTCGATTTATGGGGAACTGCGAGCACATTCGCTTTTGTCATTTCATCTATATCGCCACAGTACGCGAAGATTTCGACTTCATAAGTAAACAGGAACCGATTGAGTGCGTCATATCGCTAAAACTAATACCAAGACCATAATTTAAATGGAGCAAATCGATCTCGAATTGGCGTCTATAAAAATTCTCATATTATTTTTTCACAACAACTAATTCAAAATTATATGAATTTTAACACATCAGGTTATCAACAAGTAAAAGTTCAAGTTCACAGCATCATCTATTTTTCGTCATTACATTCAACTTCTTCAGTACAAAATATTCCATTATACGCACAGGAACCGATCGACTGCGTCGTATCGCTAAAACTAAAGAACAATATTCTTTAGGAAGTATGAAAATATTTACCGAGTACATAAGACGGTTTTCACAAAATAACTAAATCAATATCAATATCGATTGGAACGTTGTTGGAAGTGCAAATTGGGAAAACATTCACTTTTCCTTTCATCAATTTCGTCATTATATGAAGACTTCAACTTGTTAAGCAATTATTCCATTGATACCCGCAGGAACAGATCGACTGCGTAGTACCGCTAAAACTAAAGAACAATATTCTTCAGGAAATGTAATGGTATTTACCGAGCGCATTAGACCATTTTTTTTCACAATGACTAAATTAGAATCAATAGTGGTTTCAAAGATGTTGCCGAGAAGTGGGAGTACATTTCATCATCTATTTCCTCACTATATGAAGTATCGAGAGTAAAAATATTGCATTCCGTGGAACTGGATCAACTGCTTCGTTATCGCTAAAACTAAAGAATAAAATTCTTTAGGAAATTTGATGGTAATTACCGAGTGCTAGACCAGGTTTCACAACTAAATCCAAATTATTGGTGGTGCAAAAAAGCTGCCAAGAATCAGTTTCCTCATTCCATCAGGAAGATTTCAGCTTAAGTAAAAAAAATATGCCTTTCTATTCATGGAACTGGATGGACTGCATCATATCGCTAAAACTAAATAACAACATTCATCAGGAAATGCGGGGTTGTATTTACCGAATGCATAGACCAGTTGTATTCGCAATAACTAATTTAAGAATAGCAGAAGTACAAATAGGATCCGAAAATATCCGTAAGTGTATATTCTTTCGTTATTTCATCATTTATTATCGTCAGTATATGAAGACTTGACTTCCACCGACAGGCAGGCACAGGAACCGCGCAGATCGTATTACTAAAACTAAAGAATAATCAGGATATTTGAAGGAAATTACCGAAGCTCTGATTCTGATTCGTCGTATCTATCGATTGATGGTATTCAAAGATTTTTATCAGCAAAATTTGCATCATTTAGGAGTTGCTAATTGCTGACTGGAACCGATCAACTGTAACATATCGCTAAAGCTAAAAAATAAAGTAATCTGTACGAAGTTTGTAGGAATTATCAAGTGCACAGAAAAGCGAAGAGGTTGTCATAGAATATTGAATCAAACAATTTCCTGTAAAATTTTTGTGGATTACGTTTTTCACAATATAATAAATAAAATATTGGGTTGTGTTTGTTATGGGTTGGCCAACAAAATTACATACGGTTTTAGTATTTCATCAGTAGTTATACTTTCTCATTTAGTTGAATCTATTTCTTCAAATAAGCTTTCAATAGATGGTGCACAATAATGGTGAATATGTCCCATATATGGCTAAAACTAAAGAATATAATCGACACGAAATAAACATGATTTACCGAAACATGTCAAATGAAGGAATCCGCATTAAAAGCAGGAATCTCAATGGAAAATGTTTGCAAAATGGACCTCAGCTCAGATGGATTTTCTTCATTTGAGTGGTGTATCCCATTTTTGTTACTTATAGATGGTGTTGTCTTTTTACGATGTTTGCATCTGATATGCACAGGTACAGTTCAACTGCGTCATATCGCTACAACTAAAGAATGTACTGCAAAAATTTTTAAAGGAAGTTACCACGGCGTTCGTTTATTGATTAATGAACATTAAAAGTTCCACATTCCTTTTTCCAAATATACTGGATTTTGGTTTTTATAACAATGCGTTGGGCCTGCAAAACTATTTATATGTATTTTTTTCTCAAATATATATATAATATTATATTTGCAAGTTGGTAGTTTGTTACGAAAATTTAAAAAAACTCATCAGTTAATGTCATCACTGTATGTCAACTTCTACATCTGAAGGTCTTATTGATATGTACAGGAACCGATCGACTGTACCACATCGCTAAAACTAAAGAAGAATTTTCTTCACGAAATTGAAAAGAATTTACCAAAACTGAAGACGAAAGATGAAAACTTCCGATGAAAACTGTAGTTTGTAGTTATTTTAAACTTCACTTGGCATAAACAATTCAATGGTTCGAGATAGTTGCAAGATTTAATCCACACTATCAATTGCGAATTACAGATGCTTTTAACATTCATATTGATGCGATGGTGTAGTTCAATATATTTCTAAAACTAAAGAGGAATAGCGTTCACGAAATTTAAAGAAATTTACCAAGATGTAATTCCTATAAAGTTTATGAGGTTAGAAGGTACGGCCATGGATCCAAAACGATATGAAACAGCAATATTCAAAAAGGATCATAATACTAATTTTCTCCTTACTAATCAGATTGATGATAATAAAGCTGACCGCTAAATGATAGTTGAATTTGCAACTTGTGAAAATCAGCACTTTCTTCCTTAATTGTCTGCAAAATATTAAAATTAACTTGTCCTAATTTATATAAAAAGATTCCTGAATGATATGATTCAGCTTTGACGATTGGATTGATATAGTTGAAGATCAGTCGCTTCTAATAATGAATATATACAAAAATATATATTATGACAATAAAAATAATGCTGCGGGATGCGGAATTAGTGGTCTGCTGAATAGTTTCTTGTTTGTTTGCTTATTGATAAATGTATCAATTAAGTTGTAAAATTCTAGAATGAAAGGAATTTCCACAGCAATATACAAAAATTTACCAGATGACTCAGTTCTTGATGCTTAAAAACAGTTCTTCGGAAATGCGTTTTTGCTCATTTTTATGAAGTTAGTTATTTTTTTGAAGGTTAATATTATCATTTAAGATCTACAAAGAGAATATTAATCGCAAGCATAACTGCACCTCTTACGCATTTTTAATGAATCATGATTTCCGGGGAATAAACTAAAGGTGTCTTGAACATTTAAGTTGATTTGTACTTTTTTTTATCCACAGAATTGACTTTTCGTTTCATTGCTAGAACTAGACAAACGATTTCAAGCATGTATTCATTTGTAATTACCTTCTATTATTTCTGTTTTCGCATAAATTCAGATAGAAAAAGGAACTTTGTTTTAAAGAAATATACAGGATCGAACCATACGGCTTTACTCGAAAAAACTGAGTAGTAAAATTAACGAAATTTCGTCAAATGTAGAACTTCTCCTTCACAGAATTTGTACTTCCTATGAAGCTTAGAATATTTGATTGACATTTTGAAGATAATTTAGTAGTTTAGATGACTTTAATAGTTTATATAAAATATGTGATCCAGTTGTATGTGACAGGAACAATATATGCGTTGAAATCCAACAGCTTCTTAATTTTTTTATGTTAAGCAATGCATTATCGTTGATATATTAGTTGATTATATTAGTTTGTAAAAAAAAATAAATTATAATACGCACAGGGACATTCGACTGTGTTCGTATCTCTGAAATATTAAATCAATATATTTTGCCAATATTATAAGTACCGTGTAAAACAGCTCTTTAGATTGGCAATGTGTTGTTTTTGTTTGGCTTAGTGATGTGAACGATGACAAACAAATATACTTGTGTAAAAGTTTAACTGAGGTCGACAGACATTACTGAATATTTACTGCATCTGCATCAATGTATGATGACAATGAGTTGCTTCAGAGCCTTGCACGACCATATAATTGTGCTTCATTTGTGCTTAACACCAACTTACTCAGAAGTTCAAACGTATTGTTGACCTCGTATTATCTACCACAGCGTATACATACTTGTGGGATCTATTTCGCTAATTTAAGAAATTGCTTCAGTTTTCTTCCGTCTTGCTCCAAAACGGTGCTGTAAAACAAACCACGTTTTATGTCAGAATATATATATAATAAAAATTCGAAATTAAAGACGTAATTTTTTCAAATTAAAAAAATTTTTTTTATTATATATACATAATATATCTAAATTATTCTTACATTTCAAATAGTTTATAATAAATACGATCCAATATGAATCAGGAAATTATTACCTTTTTTTCTCTAAATATATATAACATATGTGTCAATATCTTTTTATATACTTCAAGTAAATTTAAATTTCAATTGATTTGACAAATACGATTCAATATGAATCAGGAAATAACTTTTCTGTACAAAGTGTAGAATGTACGCGAAGTAAATTTTTCAAATTAGTCATGCAAGGTCAACAGTATAACAGTTATGCAAATGTGTTATACACATATATTATTACTGCGCAATTCGTTTTTACCACATACATGCACAAAATACAAAATGGCTGCCTCGCTTGCATGACTAATTGCAAACGTTGTGAAATGTTAAAAATATCAATTTTTCTACATTTATTTAGCAAATATTAATAATATTTACGAACCAATGAGCAAGTTTCAGCTATATCATCACATGGCAGTCGTGACCAGTAGCCCATGCCCAATATTGTGTTCATCGGACTCAATTGGAAGGCTGCAAAATAGTTGTAGCCAGGCACATCTTTTTAAGAGCATATTTTCGACTGCAAATGAGAAACTAGCATAATAACTAATACACATTACAGTTTATGTCATATATAATATTGTTTTGAACGCTAATATTTTAGATTGTTTTAATTGTTGTTGCTACTCATTTTTTTCATAAATTCATCAAGACCACTTAGTTCACATTTCCACATATTTTCGATGTCTTCACGTTCCTTGCTGTTTTTCGCCATTGTTTTTACGTAATCATCATCGACTTTGTTCACAGTTTTCATTTGGTTTTTTGTTTGAAACTCCAACCAACGATTAAATCTTTCTTGTTGCTTAAGACGCAATTCATTTTCAGCACTCAGTAAAGCAGTAGATAAAATAGCACATACACGTAGATTACCACCAGCACGAAACTTTCGTTTCATTTGTATTTTCTTCACTCGTATATTTTTAACCCAGTCACATAATGTTGGCGGATACTGCGCACAAGTTGCATTGTATGTGTACATTTTTATTATACAAAACGATTCCAAAAAAAAAAATCTCTCCCAACTAATATATCTACTATAGAAACTCTTCACATATAAACTGGTATACAAACACACCTCGGTTCTCTTCTGCTCTCACTGCAACCAAATTATCTCACTTTCAACACTTTTCACAAAACTCCGGATTGAAACGAACTGCACGACTGCTACCAAAAGACTGTGAAATTCTGTACTAATTCCTGCCCTTATATACAGTTTTGCTAAAAAAATGTGTATGTGTTCGTACACGAACTGCTAGAAAATAGAGGAAATTGTTTTCTTTGTTCATTTACAGCTGCCTTAAAATATCAGGTAAAATGTAATTAAAATACAATACAAAGAAGTTTTTTGTAAATTTTTTAACTAGAATAACAAGATTACTTAATTCTGTAAATTTATGAGATGAAATTTTAAACAATAAAAATATTTTTGTTGTTAAACACATACTTATTTACTTATGCATATGTATATGATTTTAAGAAAAACTGCAATAACGCAGAGTTGAAATTAAACGTATACTAATTGAGTTGCTATACTGTTTCTAGCAACATATAGCAGCAAAAAGATGATTATATATTTATTTATATATTTGATTAAAGGAAATATTCCTTTAATAAATTTTTAATGTGTTTTATACAAATGAGTTTAAAATGTATGTACCTATATAATATACAATATAAGATTGTATTCTATGAATAATATTTTAAATAGTTTTTTGGTTTTTTTAATTTCTTTTAAATAATATATTAAATTGATTATAAATATTCAATTTTTTTATAAATGACAATTTAAAATTGCAATATATAGATTTTTAAATATAAAATGAAAAGAAAGTAAATTATTAAGGGGTATCTACTCAAAGTATCAAAAAAAACCGAATTTTTAAGAATTTGTCTGAAAAGACCTAATTTAATTTATCAATATAAAAACGTACATGTATTTTAGTATATTATAATTTTTAACATAAAATTATGATTTATAAATTTCACACATAATATTTATAATTCAGACAAATATATTGTTAAAATACAATTTTCATTTTTAAACAAATAATTCTAATAAATAAATGCATCGACAATCCCCTTAGAAAATCAATGTATGTAACCATACGTATAAATTTGGTTAAACCATTCCTACCATGCTATTATAATGGATAAATTATATACTTATACTTATTATATACTTCATAACATTAATTGTATTTTATATTTAAATATAATGTGTTATTTGGGTAGATAATACTATGTAAATACATATATTAAATAAAATTAAATAATTACTTTTAATATTGATTTCACTCATATGTTTAGATTTATATCATCTAATGCTGCATTTAGCGAATTAGATCGCATATATTAATAAAGTTGATATATCTCAATTATTACATTATACACTTACACTAAAAATAAAATTCTTTATATCAACAATAGTCATTATAGTTAAATCATGCTATTGTAGACATAAATTATTTACTTAGTTTAATAAAATTAATTGTGTTTTAATATAGAAAAACATATATGCAGTTAAGGTTAATAGAATTATTAATAGAAATAAATTATAATGAATTTGTTTGTTTATTTCATTATTTTTATTCATCTATTAAATTTATATAATTTAATACTACATTTAGCGAAATAAATCTTGTATAAAATTGTTAAGAATTCAAATATATCAATATTAAGCATTTTGTTTTTTATTTTGCAATATATCAACAATAGTCATTTTGATTATTCTTTAATAAATAATATACCAAAAAAAATATTGAAATTTATATTTATAAAATAAAAAGTAATATTAATTAAATAAAAAATAAAATAAAAATGTTTTTGCTAAAAGTTATAGCATATGATTATGAAATTCTTTCATACATTGAATAGGCAACTATAAAGCAATCATAAAGAAATGTTATTCACTGTGATTTAAAACGAATTTGTCAGTTTCTCAATATATCAATTATATTTTAAACTGATATCAATTTTTGCATATCTTTCGCGCCTTTTGATTTAAACAGCTGGACTGTCTACCTGAAATATAGGTATTTGTTTTCAAGAAAATATAAGCGTGAGAAATTAAAAAGTAATACAGGCAAAAAATGTTTTCCGTAATGTTGTATACAAAGAGCACTTCTAGGGTTGAAAAAGATGTTTTGTCTGCTTTGTTGTGTTATAACCATATTTTTTGTTTACGACCTTTATTTCTTCAAGATTTCTTAGAACTTATTTACATACATATTTTGTTCAAAACTTAACATTCAATTGTCCTTGAATTTAATATTTTGCAGTTCATTTTCAATCAAAGTAAATATAGTTTTTATATTAAAATCTTTATTTTTAATTTGATTATTTAATATTAATGAATTTGATGTTTGTAAATTTGCACTCAAAGAATAAGTGTGTTGAGGTTAAATAAATGAAATTACATTATATATATACAAATAATTTATTATTATATATCTTTTTCTTCTGTAAGAAATTCTATACTTTCAATCTACATATAAACAATAACGCAAAAATAGTTTTTTATAAGAACCATCTAGCTTTTAGGTATATTTTGACGAAAAAGAGTTAACTTTAATTTTTATATCGCTATAATTTATTTGTTACTAATTGATAACATACCATACCTGTTATATCTAAAAAGAGGAACTGATAGCATGGATAGAAAATAAATCAAAAAAAAAATTTGCTAGAGAACCCGCGTAAAATAAGCAAATAACAAGACAAAGACAAGGTTTCAAAGAATCAAACCAGGATCTGACATTTTTTAATAGCACAAATTTTAAAAGCAACTGAAATTCGTTTAAAAAAAATTTAACTAATATTGTTAAGAAGCTAATTTATATTTTTAGTTAACTACAGTGATATATTCATCAAAAATAATCAAATTTTCCGGGCAAGTGTTGCTTTAATCTTACAGATATCCCAAAAAAAGTCGGGTTAAATAACTTAACAGCTTACTAGTAATTATTGTATTTCTTTAGTAATACGGCAGATTTTCGATTTAATTTGTTATATTTATATACACATCTCATAAATATAAAACTTTTAAACATTAAAAGTACCGTTTTTATGACACTTAAAAATGTATCGTTTGTCTTTGTTAAACATCACTACGAGGGCTGTTTAACAAGTCAGCGTTTAATAATAAAAGTTAAATTTTTGTTTACTATTAATTTTATTTTTCAATATAGAATATTTTAAAGTCTACAAATTATTTATTAATTTGGAAAGATTTCGTTTGTATTCCATTAAATTTTTTTCCCAGTAAGCAAATTTTGTCAAATTCAGAAATAAATAATGAGGCAGATCTTTGTGAATACGATAAATATAGTAGTACCTTATAATGCAATTCGATCAGATATGCTATTTGAATTGGTGATAAATGAGCTGTGGCATTGGAGAAATAAAATTTTTGGCTTCTTTCTACTTCCTTAATTTTATCTGTGATAAATCTGTGATTTATCTGTGATCACATAATATTGTTTTGTCATTGACTTATCTTTTTTCAAGTTAGCCAAACATAGTAATGACAAAAAATAACAGCTATAATCTTTATCGCTGTTTTTTTGTAACCATGTTTATCGACAGATGTCCACTGTTTTGACTACCTTTTTATTTTTGTACCTTAATGGTGTATTCCTGTTATAAACCAAACAGATAGAATTTGTAGGTTATGATACACTATGATTAAATGTAGTGTGCAGTATGCAAATGATTTGTAAAATGTAATGAATGGTTTTACTAGCGGTTTTTATTATATTAGTAATCTTAAGCATTTTTGCATTTTATATGTATTCAAAATTTTTATTTCTGGGTTTCTGGGCATCTGGGCATCTGTAGTTCTCTTGCAACTGCAACAAAACTAAATAAACTAGTTTTGATTTCTTGTTAGTAGAGTGATAAAGACAATAAAAATGTCTTCATTATGTTCTATAAACTTCTTCCCCTTAAATTTACCTCACTGAGTATATGTTTATATGAATGATTATAGTTTTGTATTAACAAAGTTGTTTTAGTTATTCTGAAGTCACGAATCTGATCAAAAATTGAAGGAAGTGTTTAATTTTTATGAGAAGTATTTAATATTTAATGTTTATTTTATATACTTAAAAGTAATCGCACTTTGATAAGATAATCATATAATGCTACAGTTTCATAGTTTGAGACACACTATAAAAATGTTTTTGGGCTATAGTCTTGGGCTCTTACTGAGATTTTGGGTTGAAAAATAGGTTGATTCTGACATCTTTTTTAAATTATGTTTCGCCATCAAACAAATTTTGCTGCCACTCTTGTTAAGTTTAAAACATTCGTAATAATCGTTTCACATGATTCATATGACAATATTTTCAACTACTTCTTCATTATTATTATTATTATTAGCAAGTAAATACTCGCCTTTATATATATAAACCAAGTACGCTTAATTTCAACACTCTTGTTACTTCTTGATGATACTTCTTAATCTTTAAATAGATCTTAATATGGACTCTATATGCAAAATAAGAAAAAAATTAATTGTGGCTTTTGTTCCTCTGATGATTACTTTAAATTTTCCAAATTTTTTATTAAGCAATTATTTTATTACAAGCAATAATTTTATATTATTCAATAATATATTAAGCACAAAAGACTAAGCGAATGTTGTAGGTATAATCTCATAATACTTTGTATGAGGATGTAGTGAAAGAATTTTTATAACTTTTTAATTAAAAAAATTTCATTAACAATTATTTTTATTAAGTTGGGGAATTTCGCTCCTGCCTAGTGATCTGTTGTACTTTTTTCATGGATACAGAGTATTTCTTATTAAGTTTGATGTTGTCTATAAATTATACCGTTCATCTCATTACCGAATCTTATTTATTTATCCAATATCAGATACCCTCTCACGTATTTCTTTCGTTTAAGAATCGGTGTCAAACAAGCTCTGTATTTTTCTGCCTCATTATTTTGCGTAAAAAAACTGTAAGCTCCATTTAAGTAAATTTACAGTTTTTAAGGAAATAATTAAACCTATAGCGACATCTCAGAATTGTTAAGTTGCTAGTCAATTAAGTGCATACAAACTTTAAATCCATTAAGGGATTGAAAGTTCCTATAAGCAATTTAGATTATGGTGGCCTTGTTATTTTATTTGATCAGTTAGTTTAGTATATTTATTAAGCTGCTCACCAATCTGTATCGACACAGTATATATAATGTAAAACAATATCTATTTATTCAGTTCAGTACTGCAAGGAATTGATTTGTCACTGAGGCCATAAGTTTAACTAAGAGTTAATGGAAGAAGGAATAGAAGATGTGCTATATACATTTGTACCTTCTGCTCAAAAAATATACGGATTTTGTTGTTTGTTAACTAATCCTTAAGTAATAGACCATCTGTAATATACGCCATCTGTCAATTAGTTTGTTTATAGCAGCTGTTAATGTGAGACTACCTCAAGTGCATTTAGCGATTTTTACTATGAAAAATTCTTGTTGTACACGATTTTTAACCAAACACGGCACCACTGTCATCGCTCAGGCACCATATTCGTCAGATCTGGATCCGTGCGACTTTTTCCTGTTCCCGATTGAATCGGTAAAAGAGAATTCGCTGAAGTAACTAAAAGCCATACCTTCACGGGCCTATGAAAAGTGTATGGAAGTTTCGGTTAAGTGTTGGCATATTTGTATCGCTTCAGAAGAGCATATTTTGAAGGAGATAAAATAAATTTGGAATAAAATTTAAATTTGTGTGCTTTATTCACAAAATCCGAGTACTTTTTGAGCAGAAGGTATATATAGTTTTATCAATTTATAAAAAGGTCATATGTATTTATGAAATAGAGTACAGTAAAAATCTTGTGTATAACTAAAAATGCTTTAATGTTTAATAATTATATTCGGTATTTGTGGCATAACCTAGAGTTGAAGGAGAACAGGATGTATTTCTGTTGATATAAATTGAAAGTGTTTGATATATTTCACCAAATTTATTCTGATACGATTTTGACATGTATTTTTTCTAAGTAATATTATTTTTTTATGTAGAATATTTCGCACATTTACAATGTATAAATATTTAATATGTGCGAGTAGACAGAAAATGTTTACACTTTAACATCTGACATACATGCTAAATAATAATAATTATGAAAATGTACGAGTACATGTACGAGTGTCTACACATCCCAGCAGTGGAAGTATTTTTCTTATATAAATATTTATTTAAATCTGTACATGGTTGTTTCGTTATGCATCCATTCGGTTACATATGAGGTAGAAGATATGACAACTGCTCACAGTTACTATCTATAAACTAGTTAAGATGCTAAAGTATAGGACTTATCCAATGACCTTCTCTGCAATCTATGCCTATCCAAATCCCGTGGGAATTGTATATTTAAAAGAGGAAAAATTAAAAAAATATATATGAAAAGAATAACTGACTTCCACTATGGAGCTATTTGATTCCAGTAATCCTATTACATACAATATTATCTAAACATATTTAGACCATTATCTTTCCTACGCCATATGTCGATATGTATGACATATTGGTACAGACACTGCGCTCAATAAAGATTTGCGCTATATGCTGCTGAAAAATTCTCCAGCGCTTTTACTCTTACTACTTCAGATTCTACTTCTGCTTCTGCTCTCACCTAGCAGTCTTTTGTTCCAAAACTAATATTTTTGCAGCGCCAAATATGTTTGTTTGGGCAGCAGTGGGAAGTGATCATGACTTCCAATTGCAAAATCAGTTTTTCTTAGCATTTTGCTGCGAGCGGATCGTTACATTTGGGAAATTCATGAAAAGCGGAAAATATTAAAAAACCGAAAATTGGTAATTTTTATTGCATTTAAATTTTTTATAGATCATTTACATTTTTTTTTAAATTTTTTTTTTAATTTTTTTTTGTGTATTTTTTTTATATATTAATTGAGGACAAAGTAATTGTTCTTTATTCTTTCTGAAGCTGAAGCGAAATTGGCAGATTCTTGATCGTTGCTGTCCATCGTTTTATGTGCTGATTGTTCAGACTTCTATTTGTGGCAGATGAGTAAATGATTTTGGAAGAAGCGAGGAGTTGAATCAAATCGAGAAGGCACAGCATAAACTTACCGTGTTGAAAAATGCCTCAATGAGTTTTTTTAAAATTCTGGAGAATATTTTTGCAAGTTGATGAAATACAAAATATTTCTTTTTGTATAACTTATGTTTTTCACCCGTTCCCTGCTTGCTATCCCAAAGCTGATCTATGCATGAAATTAATAAAAATTTCGTTCTTGCAATCATTTATTAAATTTTATATAAAATCCAAAACAATTTTTTTGTTAAACAAATAAATATAAAATGGAAAATGTGCGATTTTCAATAATTGTAAGCGTTAAGTAAACATTTCTTGTTTATTTTGAAAATGAAATCTAAAATTTATTGTTATTATTTTCGTTTAGGAGAATGATTTGAAGTGGCATTCGGAAAGCGATGCAAATGATGATTTGATCTACGATAAACGTAGCATATCGAGCGAAAGTAATAGTGACGCGATCTTCAGTGATGAGGCGCATGAGATTTTTATGTGGCAACAACAACATCAAGTACTGTGGGATAATAACGAAATTGATGATACCTTGTCCACCATGACACCAAATTCGGCTAATCTGCTCAATATGGTAAAGACTGGCTGTTTTCTAGGTACAAGCTTTCTTAGCTTTTGAAAAATATCCTGTTTAGATATAAAAATATATATAATGAATTCTGCTTATTACAGATCTAATACCAGGCACTAGTGATGTTAACCTAGCCTTGTTATACGCCACGCTCTATGGTTGTACCGAAAATATAATTTATCTGCTTGATCATTTCGCAGCAGATCCAAATTATTGGGATTTACGTGGTCGTACAGCATTACATTTCTCTTGTTGCCGTAGTAATGCACATATGGCCAAAGTGTTGCTAGATCGCGGCGCCGATCCCAATCGTTGGGATGCAAAAAAGGAAGTTACGCCATTGCATTGCGCTGCCAGGTAATGACATATTTACAACTGCACCTCGGTATAGAAATAAATATTTTTAATATTTATTTGTTTATTTTATAATTTTTTTTTATTTATTTATCTGTTAATTACACGAGCAGTGCTAAAAGTGTGGAATGCATTTTACTTTTGCTAAAACGGAAAGCACACATCAATATCGGCATTGAAAAGCGTTCGGCGTTACATTTTGCCATTGATCGTAACGCAATTGAGTGTGTGGAAACTTTGCTAAAATATGGTGCAGATCCGAATACCCCACAAGTTTATACCGAAACTCCCCTTCATACCGCCTGTGCACTGGGGTTTTCTAAATGTGTTGAACTATTATTGAGTCATGGAGCTGATGTACGTTCACAATTCGGCGAAGGTAAACTCGCCGCATTACATTTAGGTGAGTTTAAACTTTTTCTGAGAATTATATAAAAATATGTAAATAAAGATTTAAAGTAAAAAGGACTTATTACGTTACAAACAGGAACAAATTTGAAATCACCGCTTTATGTTATTCAAAATAATGGCTTTTTAACTCAATACAGCGATGTAAAATGAGCGCTTCAAAGCTAAATCATCGCCCGGGCTTTCTCATAGCAAGTCGATATAAACTCTTTGAATGGATTCTAGTCTACAAAACGTTTTCACTTAATTATCAAATCCATTTCTTCGAAAGTTGAAAAATCATATGATGCTAAAATAGTTGAATACGGGAAGTAGCAGACCATGCCGATTAATGTCGTTGCCGTTAGATAGCCCCACTACAAATATCTATTTTTAAAAAATTGTGTTTGCTTTTGAAAGGAACTTAGACTTAGATAACAAGGATGCTAACATGGACTTACAGGAAAAAATGTCTATATTCTTGTAAATAATCAAGCAACTATCACAGCAAGTTCACAAATGCCTTCGTTCCATCGGCTTACAAGGTAGCACTTCCAAAGTAACTCAGGTTACGGTTTCCGGTAATACAAATATAGTCAGGAACGATACGTTGGTGTGCTAGTAAGACTCGGTACATCTTCGATAGAACTTACTACAGCAATCCCTCTGCCTGTCAATCACAGACGAATTTGGTAGTACCAATAATATTACAGGTTTTCATGAGGCACTGAACTGTAGGACAACATGGAGCTAGGCTGATTCTGCTCTGTCTCCTATAAATCCTTTAGAGGAAAAGAGCACCTATTGTGTCATTGTCGTATTCAGATGCTGGTTGGAACTTATTGGTACTTTATTCTTTAATCCACTGAACAAAATACTCAACATTATAATTGAATTGATATACGTGATTGTGGTCCAAAACCTCTCCGCAGAATTACGAGGAATGTGAAATCAAAATGGTGTTCTTAAATAAATGAGGAGAATTTGGTGCTTCTTCCAGTTTAACTACCTATGTACGATGATCCAGTTTTAGAACATTTTCACTAAAAACCACAAACATATTTATAGAATATAGGAATGTTGCATCAAAACGGTTTTCTTTAATAATTGACGAGGTTTTGATCATCCTTTAACACCACTTACCTACATACGTACGTTATATAGAATCAAATCTTTCGAGTTATAATAGAACAAAAAAACTAATTATAAGATATATTATTTCTGCCCCGTATTCCTAAAAAAATTTTACATACAAATCTTTTAGATCCTAACTTTCATATTTCTACTTTTCTCCAATATAGCTGCCGAAAATGATTACGTAGAGTGCGTAAGATTATTACTAGAACACGGGGCCGAAGTCAATTGTCGCAATGCAAGCAATCAAACCCCATTACATTTGGCCTGTTTGTCTCAATCTATTGAAACTGTGGAATTGCTTATAAAATATGGAGCAAATGTAAATGCAGTTTATCGTGATGGACGTACAGCATTACATGCGGCAATAGTTAAACAATCACGTTGTGTGGACTGTTGCAATGCTCTATTAAAGGCCGGAGCCGATGTCAACAAGGCAGATAATTATGGTTATACACCGTTGCATATAGCAGCTTTAAATGAGTTCAGCAATTGTGTCTATATTTTTATAGGTGAGAAATTTTAATTAATTTTACATACATGATAATAAATTATTAATAAAATATATAAAACTTTTAATTTAGAGCATGGTGCTGATATCACTGCACGGACTGATGGACATGTTTCTGCGCTCTCATTTATTGTGCGTCGTACACCTGAGATAATACCAAAGCTAATGGCAAAATTGGATTCTTCAATTAAAGTAAATGATCATGAAATCGGCGATGTCGATTGCGAGATAAAATTAGATTTTCGTTTACTTGTACCACCTCACGCTTTGGAACGCGGCGAAGCTGAGCTTCTACTCTCGTTGATTGAAGTTGGACAAAAGCGGCTGTTAATGCATCCACTATGCGAAACATTTCTATTTTTAAAATGGAGACGTATACGAAAATTTTTCCTAATGAGTTTATTCTATCATGCTGTCTATGTATTTTTATTTACCTTATATGTAATTGGTGTTTATTCGAAGAATTGTGATAAGAACACTGAATGCAAAGCATCAGGTTATATACCAACCACTGGTTATTTTGTTATTGTTTTGAACTTGATTTTACTAGGGAAGGAACTTTTTCAGGTAATTGTTAAATATATTTTCAAAGTATTAGAATTGTCTAAGGATTCATTAAATTGTACTTTGAAATATTTTAAAGTTTTGTCATGTTTCATTGAAATGTTTCATTATATCGAATAATAGATGGCACATGGTTTACAAGGATATGCTAAGTACTGGGAAAACTGGTTACAATGGGCCATTGTCTTTGGAGTGTTGCTATGTGTGGTATATATTCTTTTTAAATTTTATATTTTATTCTGAAATGCTAATTTATATTTTATTTAATTTAGACTCCAGAGACACTAATTCCTGGAGACTTGCATACGGTACCTATATGGCAACATCATGTGGCGGCTGTAGTTGTATTGTTGGTATGGTTGGAACTTATGATGTTAGTAGGTCGGTTTCCTATATTTGGTGTTTATGTTCAAATGTTTACTAAAGGTAAAATTCAATTGAAAACTATTTAAGTTAAAGCAGTATTTTTCAAAATAGTACTTTTGCTTTATAGAGAAGTGATTTTATTGTTTGGTAGAAGAACTCAAACTTAGACTTTAAACGAAATTGACCTAGATTAATAACACTTTATAATACTTTATCAACAAACAACTATTAAGTTGGATGGGTGATTTCTGTAAAACTTTTTCAAAATAAGCTACGATTTAGTGTCTATCATTTATTTATAGCAATAAATATGCTCCTCATAGAAGTTAAAGAAATTATAAAATAGAAATATAGTTAGTAAGTATGTTATATATATAATGGGAATGTATACTGAGACTCACATATTTTAAAAAACAAATGAAAAGCCCATAAGATAAAATTTGCCTTTTGAACCCCAAAACTCTCTGGGTTTTAATTTTTAACTGTTAATAAAAACATAACAAAAAAAATATTTTGTACTTTATTTACATTAGATATATAGATTTAGATAGATTAAAAAACAGAAAGAAATTCTAGAATTAGAAAAAGAAAAAAATACAGACCTATTTTCAAAAATATATATATTTTGTTTTGAAATTGGGAACCAATAATAATTTTAATAAATTAAATATGAAATAGATTTGTTAATATATCACTTTTAATATAATATTAATATGCATTAATATTTTAATAATTTCATGAATTAATTGTGTAACCCTACATATAGGTTTATAGGTAACTTTTATATAAAAACTTAATAACTTGCTTATTATTTAAAAAAATATAATAACTTATTTGTCTCACTTCTATTTTTAGTGGCTGTGAATTTTGGAAAATTCTTATTGGCATATATATGTTTACTGATTGCATTTGGTTTAAGTTTCTCAGTACTCTTCAATGACTATCCAGCATTCGAGAACATTACCTGGTATTGTTAATAATACGTTGCATAAATTACAAATCTTTCTAAACATATATTCTTTAACTTAAAGGTCTTTGTTGAAATCAATTGCTATGATGTCTGGAGAACTAGAGTTCGAAGATATATTTTATGGTGATTATGCAGTGAAATTCCCAGTTACAGCGCATATCATATTTCTATCATTTGTCCTACTGGTAACTGTCATACTTACAAATCTAATGGTGGGTCTTGCAGTGAGCGATATACAAGGTCTACAAGTATCTGCTAGCTTAGATCGACTAGTACGGCAAGCGGAATTGGTTTCACGTCTAGAAAGTTTATTTTTCTCACGTCTATTGCGTGGCGCACCAACTAAACTACTAAAATTATGTAAACGTAGCGCCTTACTCAAGACGTCCAGAAATAATTTAAAATTTGTTACGCGTCCAAATGATCCTCGCGATAATCAACTACCAGAAGAAATTAAGTTGAATATTTACAAATTGGTTGCAGAGCGTAGGGATCGCAATTTAAGTATACGTCGTAGAAAGTTTGAAAGTAACTATAGCATATTTAGTAGGAGTTTGGAGCGCCAGCATAAACAACAAGGATATAAGCATGAAACGAAAGATGAATTATTTCAAAAGAATAATAATTATCAACAGAAACCTATGACTTGTGAGGCACGTGAAAATGAATTTCTTTTGAGACCCCGTTCTGCTACCAATGTACCGAACCATTTAATGTTGGATAGTAGTGACTTGGCTATAAAACTGAAGAATCAGGTGAATGGTATATCAGATGTGCGTACTGAAGTGCAAATAATTAAAGATAAACTAAGTGAAATTAGTCAAAAATTGGATAAATTTACAGATAGTTCCAATAAGAAGATAACTTTTGCCACGGAGGAATTGTGTCGCATCAAAATGCAATTAGAACAAAAATCACATTATACGCATTGAACACATAACTTATTTTCGTTAAAAACTATTTAATCGAACTTAAAAAAAAATAACTTACTGTTAACTAACTTAAGTTTAAGTGACTGATATTATGAAACTTGTAGATTGTATATATTTAAGACAAAAAAAATTATACCGAAATGCATTGTGTACTTACACAATACATGTTGGATACATGTTATTTCATTATCGATAACAGATAACAGATAAGGAACTTCTACACGATTCCAATTTCCCGATCACGCGGATTTAACAACGGATTGTAGTTCCTAGCTACATTATGTTAAGCTACTATTTCCACTATGCTATATTGACCTAGATTATTAATATTTTATCAAAGAACAAGTATTAAGTTGGATGGGTGATTTCTGTAAAACTTTTTCTATATAAGCTATATGCTATATGTCAATATAATATAGTTTTGAAGATATTGGACTTTGAAGTTGAATATTTTTACATGATTACAAACAACATAAAACCGCCAGATTGTACATCTACCATCTAGAGTCATCTTTTAGTAGCTAACCTTACTAAAATCCGTTTTCAAATCGACATGCCCGGGAATTTGGTTTCACACCAAAAGATTCTTTGTGCCTTATTTTTACTAACACTAAAATTAATACTAAAATTAAAAGTATTAGAATCAATTATGTTAATATAAATTCTAAGACATTTTTAGTTCCTTATAACTAAACTATATTAAAATAATGTATTTGAAATTTGAAAATTATTTATTAAATTTTAACATTTTATTATAAATTTTTGAAATATTTTAAATTTAATTTTTAATCGCTAATAATCGAATAATTGCTGTAAGGTTCTTATTCTTTACAATTCAAACCGACTACTACCAGATGAATTCTAAAGTAAACAGAATTTTTTAATAAGCAGTAACAAGTTTAACTCTATTAAAAACATTATAGATCACTTCTGATTCAATACATTGATTTGCTCGACCTTAGAAATATGTCCAATAAGTGTTTTAGATTGTATGTCTGGGTGGTCTTCAAGATGTCGATATAAGCCTTTTCACTTTCTTTTCGTCGGCAAATACATTTTCTGGAGAAGATAAAAGTCGCACGATGTAAAATCAACTCAATATGGAGCTACCAATAGATGGCCTCGATACAAATACTTCTTATTTCATAAAAAGTAATATTTGAAAAAATTAGTGATTTAAATCAATGGGCAGGGATGACCTGTAGGATGTAAACCTCCCTCCTCTTCAATATATTATTGTTCCATTTTGTTGAGGTGGTAACGTAGTCCATGGTGACCCATTAAATATCCCACTAGCAACCTCAACTCTGTTCTGCTAAAGGAGGATATCTTATTATAACAATAGGGGAGAACCAGCTCTTTAGCCTGACGGTTACCTCGACTGTCGCGCTAGAAGGGACTTCTCTCGGTTGAAATCCAATTATTGATTAGAGACCTAGTTGTAGACCAACTTAATCCACAAAAAGGTTCTGGGCCAAAGATTGGAGTGGCGGATCCTGCCCGTGCAAGACTATCGGCAGACTCATTACCATTAATTCCTGTGTGACCAGGCACCCAGCACAGTGTCACTTTATTATTGCTTGCCAGTTGCTGCAGTGTCATAGCAGTCTGGTAGAAGTTTTAAGAAAAAATTCCAGGAGCATAACGCTTTGATTGCTCCTTGACTATCTGAATAAATACAGATCCGGGCGCCTTTCAACCCCTTGTTAATGTTGATACGAGCGCAGACCTCGATGGCGTGAACCTCTGCTTGGAAGACAGTGGGCCATATACCCAGCGAGAGCGAGATTCTGGTGTTTGGACCTGGTGTTTGTTTTCGAACCATCAGTATACCAGGATATCACTTTTGGTTCGAGTCCAGGAGTACCATTTACCCAGTCCAATCGATCGGGTATGAGGATTTCGAACTTCCTACCGAAGCGAAGTTCCATGTTCATGCGATCTGTCCTATCGCAGATCTCTATGCCAGGAACTAGTCTGCAGATAGAGTTTTGACTGACGAGTTTTCCGTGCATGTTGATGACAGGGTGTAGCCTAGCTGCACTCATAGCTGCTGTCTTTTTAATAAAGAGGTGCAGAGGGGTATCACCATGGGTTATAATAACAACAATCTTTAGGATGTCAACGTAAGCCTTTTCCCTTTTTTTAGCAGTCAAATAAATTTTTTGAAAAAGGTAAAAATCGCAAAATGCGTATATATGAATATATTGAACGTGGGTAGTGGTAGACCTGCCAATCGATAGCTCGATATAAATTCGTTTTTCTAAAAACCAGTGTTTACTCTCGAACGTACCGTACGAAAAACAATTTCTGTAATTAAATTATTTCTAACTACTGCTTTAGTTCTATATTAAATTTGCATTTACATTAAGTTTTTATTAAATAATTTGACAACACAGTTGAATTAAACTAAGAGATTTACTCTTTAATATAAGAGTAATATATGTACTTAGACCATTTTCTGTTAGGACGTTACTTTGACGCGATCGTATTAATATATTTTTGATATAAACTACAGTTTCTGTTGTTAAATGGATTGCTTACCGCTGAATTAGTTCAATATTATTACGTATATATATTATATATATTTGTATCATATTATTTATTAAAATAGTTGAAATAACTTATAAAAATTCAATAAATTCACTTTGTCAAATATTTATCGTTACTTTGGTTCCATAATAATGTGCCTTCAGCTGGCTTTGGATCAGTTTTTTTCACCGAACTCCAACTTTGAGATTTGGGATCAAAAGCAAATGTTTTCGAAGTAGGATCTACTGGAGGTGGTGTATTTATGACGACTGGTTTACGAGTTGTAGTAATCGCAGGTTTATTTACTACTTGTGGTCCACCACCGATTAATTCATATTCTAAGTTTGGATTAATGGATTCGGGACGACCATAAGCACTGATAACAATATGCAATAAAAGACCTAAGAATATAAAATTTATTTATTTATACTGTGAAATTTTTAATAATTAAACTTACAAATTAAAGTGAAAGTTTTTAAATTATACATTTCGATTAGTTTGATATTTTTTTCGTTAGGTTTAAGGTTTTAACTCGTTGTCAACAAAGCGAAGTCGATGTTTCAATGTTAAGCTCAATACTAAATCTTTAAATTAAATAACTGAAATAAACAACAAAAATGTAATAATAATTAAGTGAATGAGATAATCTTTATACTTGAGTTCACAGCATCTCAAAAATTATTCTGATTCAGAGATTGATTCAGCAATGCAAGTATTGAGTTTCTCGCAAGTATTACGTTCTTGATATTAAATAAGACGGCACTGATTAAACTGGAGTGATTTTAGATTATTTTCACTCATAAAATTTTTTTGATAATTTGTTGTTCATTTTCATTAATTAAAAAATTTATAGTTTCTGCTAATTCTATAATCAAAACAATCTGTGAATATATAATATCTTCATTAATACATGAGCAATTAGTAAGAATATGTAAATAGAAAAAAGAGTGAAAGAGCGAGTTAATCTATCAATGGATACAAGGTATATTCGACTAAGCTTTGTTCGTTGAAGATTATTTACCACTATATGAACTTTTTAAATCTAAATTATCTAGTGTATTAGTTAATAGGAGTCACTAAGAAAGTATTAAATGGTAATCAGAAGTTCATTCCTATTACATATTTATACCAATTATATATAAATGAATAATTTTATCATTGATTTTGAAGCGTTCTATTATTTAATCTTAATCGTTATCTATAATTCGAAAGACTGATCACTTTATATTAGTTCATACAAAATATTAACACATTTTGATAATTAATAAGAATTTTTTTTTAATTTAGATTCTTTAGAACTTTATTTTACTTAATATGTATATCGAGTAATTTGATTTGTGAAATTACTATGGGTTTTTCGCTGGGTATTTTATATAAAAAAAACTTTTTTATGAAACTGATGAAAATTAAATAATTAATTGGAAAAGTATATGTACTTTATATGATGTGCAGAAATTATATAAAATATATATATTATATGTGTATGCATAATAGGTTAATATATTTATAATATATTTGTTACCAAATGCCTCTTATGAAATAATTAATAAAATTAATTATTAGTTAATTATTTTTATTTATTTGATCGAATTATTTTTATTATTATATTAAACTTTATTAGACGTCCTCCACATATTATGTCAGCAAATTTTTTATTATTAAAAAGTATGCTCCACACAAAAAGAAAAATTATAAATGTATTATGGTATATCAGAAGCATAATTATAGATACCTAAAGACTGTAAATGATTCAGTATTAAACATAACTCTCAAACTTTTTGAGAGCTGGACATCCTTATTATAATCAAAGTATTGAAAAAGGTCAACGTATGTGAACCTAAACATATAAAAAATAGATTTTGTTTACATAATTTTTGGTAAACAAACAAATAAATTATTTACTATATATTTAATAAATTCTTTTCAGTTATATATTAAGAATTGAGGCCCTATGCACTTAGGAGAGAAGGTCAGCAGTAAGTAAGTAATATGTTAAGCATTGGAATTTCCATTAAATTCCATTCACGTACATGATACAATATATTGAATAGGTATTATGTTTTTTTTATTGAGTATTTTTTCCCTTCTCAAGAAACTGAAGTGAGAAAGTTACATAAACGAGCCATTGCACTGAGACTTATGTTAGGATTGTAAAATTTGTATATTATTAATATGTGATGTGTATAGTAAAAATATAAAAATATTTATTTATTATATTTATATTAATTCATTTTATATTATTTATATACATTTATTAATGATTATAGGATTTTTAACGATTAAGGATTTAGGACGTGTGCGAGTTAGGCTAAGTTGATGCTAAACCAAATGGGAGATTTTCTGTCCTGTAGCAACTAATATAAATTAAATTTTAACTAAACTAAGTTAAGATATATGTTATAATATTGAATATTCATAAGCACAAATATTCTATATTATAGTTTAATGCACTCTGCATAATTTTTAATTATATATATAGTTTATAATAGAATACATAGATATTATTAATCTATTTTTTACGTAGTGTAAAGTTATTATTTTCTAAATGTTTGCAATTTTATTTATTTTTAGTTTCTGTTCTTTATTTATATTAAAACTAATTTATTGAAATTAATTTAAGTGTGATTTTAACTTTAATTAGCTAATGTACGAATTCTCACACTATATATTAATTCATTATAGTTACATAAAAAGAGCAGCGCTACCTATGGTCACCTTAACAATTATTTATCGTAAAAACAAAAGCTAAGCGAACATACAATTTGTTGTTTGGGAATTTCGAATTTATGAATTGTTCTTATTATTGATAACCTTTGATTTCGTAGAAATATTTAACATTATTTTAAGACTTTCATAAAATAATTTTTTAAACATAATCTACGAAAAAAAAAAAAAATCAAAATATATTTTTTATGCAACTAAAAATGTTTTTTTATAAACACTACAAATAATCATAAAAAAATATTTATAAATGTTTGTGTTAAAAAAGAATATTGGTGAGTGTTGTACAAATATTCTCTTTTCAATAATTTATCAAATAAAAATCTTATTTAAATTTTAAACAAGTCTTCTTTTATTTTCTTGTTGATGAAGTTGTTTTTAAGAACATTGAGATTCCAACAAGACTGGAACCTTACAATATCGTAAAATAATTTAATAGAAACACATATTTTTACTTAATTTTTAATATTAACAGTACATTTCAAAACATATAAAATTAAATATTAGTTTAATCTAATATTCATTTCAGTAAAATTAACTTAAATTAATCATTTAAAAAACACTTATATCCTCCTAATATTTAAAGTGGCCTGCAGGTGCCCATACGAACAGCAGCAACATCTGAAAATATTTACAAAGAAAATCAATATAAAATTTATATTCTGTATATTTCTATATATATTCTATATATTAAATTTTAAATTCAATATATTCTATATTTGAAATAAAAAAATTACTCACTTAAGCCACAATTAATGGAACATTGCAGTCGACCAGTATTATGATAATTTAGCCCATCACTACCGCACACAGGATTATATTCCATTGTTGAAGGACATCTCTGTAAACAGGCCAGATATTGTGGAGAAGGTGTACTTGCAGCAGGTGCCGCGGTTGTGGTAGTCACGCCATTATCTCCATTAACGCCATTATCAAAATTAAATTGTGGTTGATTTGGTCTTGCCGGTGTAGGTGCAAATAGATCTCCCCAATTAATTTGTTGTGGACGTGCGTATATAGCAGAAAGGCTTAAAACTGTTAAAAATTATGAAATTATTATTTGAATTTATTGAAATCTAAGCCATTTTAACTTACAGCAAATGCAGATGCTTAAATAAAATTTCATTTTTATAATTTAATTTGTATGTCTTAAACGCTGCTCAGTCAATAAGAAACTGATTCTAAAATCAATCGAAACGTTGCTAATCAATGAAAACTAACACTGGTTTTATATGTAGACACTGCTCTAGATCTGCGCTACCTCTCACTTTTTCTCTCATTCCAATAAACAGTAAAATCCAAATTTATTGAATGCTCTTAAGTTGATTGTAAAGTTCTCAAATGCTTTCTGTTTATAGAAGCAACAGCTGAAGCTGGAATCTTAAGTGGAAATGTAAACATTGATTCTTAGTGCGTCATGGGCTTTGGAAAACCACTTCAAATTAATATTTTATGCTTTGTAATTAATTTTAAATTAAATTTCACGTTTTGATAAGGAGGAAGATGCGACTTAAGTTTTGATTGATGGCTGATTTCATTGAATTGAATATTTTGTTTGAAAATAAAACAAGCAGAAAATATCAGACAAAGCTAATAATGTACTTAAGAAGTAATAAATGCCAGAAAAAGGAAATATGATTAAAAAAAAAAACTTAAAAAGAATGTCATGTATTAAGCACTTGACTTATTGTATATTGAAATACAGTTTTATTATATGCAGCTATAGAAAAATAAAAATAATAATAGTGATAATGATAATGATAGCTTCAGGAAAACTTAAAATTTACTTAAATGTTGCAAAAATGTTCAGTCTTATGTTTACATTTCACAATTAACGCATTTTGCGATAAATTAATTAAACAGATAATTAGATAATTTTGCGAACAGTGAGACAAAACGAAAGATGAAGAGAGATATTAGATAATTTTTATATAAATATATTTATGATTTAATTTAAGCTTAAAAAATAAGTCAAATAGTATAATATATAATTAATTTCTATTTTTATTTACTGTTTGTTTTTTACAAATACTCGCACACGTGGTGTTCACACCGGAATGTTTCAAAGCAGCATTCTCTTAATAGTGGTCATTTACTGGTTAATTGTGCTATTTTGACAATTATATATATATATTTATATATATTTAATTCTAATTCTATAATTAATTAATTAATTCTAACTATAATAAGATTCAAAAGACTTTTTAACTTAAGTATGTTTCAACTTGTTTAAGAATTAAATATGTTAAAATCAATAAAATTACTTCCATTATCATTATTGAGAAATTCAGTCTGTTACGATTTACCACTGTTTGTAATGAACAGCTTTCGGAGTGCTGTTGAGGATAGAGGGACTTCTTCAAGAATCTAGACCTCTGCTGAAGTACCTGTTGTACTGCTAATTCTGAAACTATAAAAGTAATAATATTAACTAATTAATAACAATTTGAATAATTTTAAATGGAATCGCATTGAGAAATATACAAGTTAATTCAACAATATTTAGCAAAAATATACATTTATTTTGATATGAAAACATATTTGAGAAAGTGATTTATGCTTAAGCTCTCAGGTATTACGATAATGGAAAAGGGGAAGAGGCTTCTAAAAGTACTTTATTTTTCTTTATATACACATACACATAAATATAATATTAAAAGCTTAAAAAAACATATACTAAACGTAGATATACTATACTAACAAGCAATATCTCCAATTATAGTTTTTACAAAATTACACTTACATGCTATCATTGTAGTAAACCATCACCTCCTACTAATATTAAATAAAATGTTACCATAAATTGTTACCCAGCAGCTGTGTTTATCGGGGCCGTTTAAATCAATGGTTTCCATCGAATCTGATATAAGTGTCGAAATAATAACAATTACTGAATATAAATAGTGATGAAAAGGAAACGAAATAGAAAGACGAATATTAAGTAAAGCAAATTTAAAAGTTTATAATCGGTTTCATAGTCATAATTGCAGTGTATATGCTGACTTAAGTCATGCTTAAGTCGTCAATTTGCTTACTTAATTCAAACTTAAATTAGCTTTGAGATTTAAGTTACCACTATGAAATCGGTCCTTATTTGGAATTTGAACTTACGAAGTTTTGAAAATCTTTCTTAATGTCACGTTGAATGTGCTCATCAACTTTCTTAACCGTTCGTTATCAAGATGCATTTTATCAACTCCACAGATTATTTTTGAAGTAGATGAAATATTGGAATTATTAGCACTTGGCCGACTTGGCCGATAAAATGGAAGGCATTTACTATACTTAAATGGGTGACTTGAAAAAGGCCATTGATCTTTTGTCAATGTTGCTTCAACCTTCAGAGCTGTCTATACTCAATGTGTATGAAATCTTAATAGCCTCGGCTAGAAAGAATAAGATCATGAGCAGCAAATATATGTAATTTTGTTTTAAATTTTTTTGAGTTGTTAAGTCGAAAATATTTCGACTATACGTATACGTATACGATCGAAATAAAAGTTAAAATTCTGAAAAAAAACAAAACCGACTTTAAGCAAATATATGGTTGGATCTTCGGGGAGCATGATCATAAATAAAAAGGAGAGGAAGACTTTTAAAAAGTTGCTTTTATTCAAACTGTGCGTTTACAACAAAAACATAAGACTATTCTATTTTATACTACATTTTAGAAACCAATATCCATGCAGAACCTTGTGCATCTGGTTGCTTCGGAGAAAATCTAATATCAATCTGTGGACTCTTGTAAACCAAACAATAAATACCAAAACTCAAGAATCAAGTCTGAATACCGTTTAGTTGCAGAAACCGAATTACTACCCGCAAGTCATGACTTGAACTTGGAGAAGATCAGTGAGATACGAATGAAGAGAGGCATACTACTTTTAAATGGCATTCTTCCATATTTTTATTACAGAGTCAGTCGGTTTAAGTTAATAGGAAAATCTCTTATTAACTTCATTCGTAGTCATTGGGCTACAACTATTAAATTACTTACCACTCCGATGTTTCCAAGAACAATATGATATATATTTTATTCATTTTTGTGTGGTATTTGATTCCCACATAAATACTGAAATTTATACGTTTTCTGGAAAGTAGCGAGGTTAATATATATTGAGAAGTTAGTACAGATTATATATCATACCAATTCGTATTACAACATTTTACGAGTTGGTATTTTTGTTTCTTTTTGATCTAGTTACATACTTCTAATGTATTTTCGAAGATAAATGACAATCTGATTTTTTTATATATTTTTGTTACAATAGTTATATATAATAAAAATTATTGTGATACTTGCGAAAAAAAAACAAGATGCATAATAATACATGAGAACTATTGGACTGTTTGGAAAGTAATTTGTTTTTTTGAAATTTGAATTTTATTCGTTTTGGTATAATTAGCTTCACCATCCCCTCAGACAGTAGCACAGTTCAACGCCCATATGATCATCTGAGTTATTTATAACATCCCCATTTTAAGTCAAGATTTGACCTCATGAAAAGTTTTGTTGAGTCCGAAACAAGTGATAATCCGAAGTCACCAATTCTGGAAAATTATGTAGGTGCGGTAATATATTCCATTCAAAATTTACAATCTTTTAAAGCTTACCAAACTTGTATAAAATCTCCCATTATCTTGGTGGAACCTTGTATATTTTATATTGAACGATTCTGGTTTGTTTAGATTTAGCGAATAATTTAATTATTTGTATTTATGACAACAAATTTCAGAATTAATCATATTAATACTTTGTAAAATCTACGATTCACTAAAAATAGATAATATTGGAAAGTTTCTAAACACTAAAGAACATTTAGAAACCGATAGATGATTTTGTAAGAAATCCTCTGAAAAACCAAATCACTACTAGGTGAGGCATCTTAGAACTAGAATCCTAGCCCAATGCAACGTACCCTTAGGCAGACTTAGGAGTCTAAGGTAGTCTATGTGACGTCTAGGGTAGTCTATGTGGAGTCTAAGGTAGTCTATTTGGAGTCTAAGGTAGTCTATATGGAGTCTAAGGTAGTCTATGTGGAGTATAAGGTAGTTTATGTGGAGTCTAAGGTAGTCTATGTGGAGTCTAATGTAGTCTATGTGGAGTATAAAGTAGTCTATGTGGAGTTTAAGATAGTCTTTGTGAAGTCTAAGGTAGTCTATGTGAAGTCTAAGGTAGTCTATGTGGAGTCTAAGATACTCTTTTTGGAGTCTAAAGGTAGTCTATGTGAAGTCTAAGCTACACTGGCCTTCATAACTTTCCCTGACGCGACTAAGGAAATTTTTTCTGTAAGAAGATGTTGACTTATATGTGAACATTTAAAATTAAATCAAAACGTTTTATATGATCATGAACTATCGTATTCAATCTCTATGCATAGGTAAGACTTATTATTCGACAGCTAGCATCAATTAATGTCTTTATAGCTTTCTGTGGTCTTTCAGAACATGATACATCTTTAATATCAAAATTTTCCGGAATGAAATTTTGCAAACCAGTTTTTGTGCTGGTGCTCTCAGCTTGAACAGCATTTTGAAGTTAACTTAACTAAGTTGGGTTAAAATTTTATAAAATTTTATTCATTATTTATATAGATATAACCAAAAAATAAATAGAATATATATACAAAAAATAATATGGAACCGGCCCAGTTTCTAAAATAAAATATATAAAGAAAACTAAGTTACACCATTATTTTATAGTATTTTTAATTTTTAAAATAAATTGTAAACTAATTTCTATTCTAGATTCTTAAAAAAATGTGTGAAGATATGGTAATATATACATAATTTTTATATATATTATATAAAACATTTTAAAAAAATATTGAAATTAAAAATTAGTTTTTACAAAATTAAATTATTGCAAAAGGGTATAAAAATTAATAGTATATTAAAAAAATATAATCACATGTTTGTAGTTTAGCTTTAAACTAATTGGTTCCGTTATCGTCCTAAAGGAGCACAAGTACCCATGCGTACAGCTGATACATCTAATAGCGAAAGATAATGTTAAAAATCAAAATTGAAATTAGATATTAAAAAAAATATAGTTCCTGTTTTTCTGTATAATGGTATTATGTAGCAAATGAGCTAGTGTATATGAATCGTGTGAAATTGTGTAAAATCAAGGCGAATAATCGAGAATCTTTATCGCTTAGTAACACAACTGATCTTATAGATCTCGATGTACCACTGTCGCTTCTAATAATTTACTCTTCAAAATTAAGCAGTCAAATTAAATTTAACTCATAAAATAGATTAAACTTGTATTTAAGATTATGTGATGATTAGCTAATATAAACTTGAATCATCAAGAGAGACCGTCGTTATCATTAAATCCACACTCTGCGCACTTTGGCACGTAGTAAGTGGTAGACTTGTTTATCTAAATGTTTAAGCAAATGAAGCCTTATGAAGAAAGCAATGTGGTTTGAAAGATTTCATAAAAGAATGTAGTTTGTTAGCTGTAGAAACGATAGGCGGTAGAAGAGAGAGAGAGAGAGTTATAGTAAGAGAGAAAGACACAATAAAGAACATAGCAAGTTTTTGTTTGTAATTTATGTTCATTACTTTGATTATTCAATCACTGTAAGTCATAATATCAAAGCAGCTTATCATTTATGTTATCTATAACAAGTTACGCTTAGTAGGTATCACAGTGAACTCTAAATAAAACCAATTTTATGAGTACATGAGAAATGTTTGTTCTAGATGTATATGTAATCGACTTATCTTGGCTTTAGCCTTATTTTATACTTTTCAAACTTACTTAATCCACAACGAGAAGCACATAAGAGTCTTGCCATATTATGGTAGTTTTGATTATCACTACCACAAACGGGATTATATTCCATAGTGGTTTGGCAATTCTGTAAACAGGAAAAATATTGTGGAGATGAAGTTGTGACCGATTGAATTGTAGTTGTAGTTATAGGCGCTGGTGTTGTGGATAATATTTGCATGGCACTCAAAGAGTTGTCTGTTGGAAAATTGAATGGACGTGAGGGTCCTGAAGGAAACTGTTGTGGAAAGTTCTGCTGCTGTTGAAAACTTGGAAAGAATTGTCTTGGTTCTCGTGCAAAACCATTCAGTTGATTTATTTCAAAACTTGGATTTGGAAAATTGAATGCATTATTTTGTCTTGGTTGGAAAAATTGTGGATATGCATAATTGTATTGTGCAACAAAACCTGCGAAGTAAAAGTAATTAAATTTAATAGATAAATAAATATAAAAAACTTTAATTGTTTTTAATCCATTTTAACGTACCAAATAAAAATAAACAAATTGATATTAATTGCATTTTGTATAAAAAATAAAATTTTACTTAGTATTCAATTTAATAACTGACTTGCTTTACAGCAAAATAACGTCTGACAGATTATTTTAAAGCAGATTTGTTTTTAGTCAGCAGTCAGCAGAATATGTAGAATTAAGTACCTCTAAACTTGTTCTCGCTCATCTTTAAATTGTCGTCGGATTCAAAATATCGGCTCCAGTTATTGGCTTTAGCGGCTACAGTTTAGCACAAAATTTATTAAGCAAAAAATTCCCTGACAGTCAGAAACTTGTTAATCTTTCGTAGTTGAACTTGATTTTTTTTTTATCAGCTTAGTCATGCATAGTTGGTATCCAACAATTATACAATTTACAAACTAAACTGAATTAAACTAAACCATAGCACAGTTAAATAGTATCTCAGGTAAACATGCGTACGTGATTCGTATTTGCAGCAAAAGTGCTAATTATGAGTAAATACCCGCTTATGGGAAACTACGGCACTTCGGACAATCCCCTCTCATAAAAAGTGAACCACAAGTCTTACACCGGAATTCAACTGGGAAGGTCATTACTCACTTCCTCAAAAGGCGTCTAGCTTCAAAATTCTTGTATTAGCAAGCGCAGAGTTCAATGCACTTACTGTCGTGCAATGATTACAATCGCTTATATATAGATAATTGCAAATTATAATAAAAATAAATAAATTTATTAATATTATTCGGATTATGTATAGATAATATTATAATATATTGTATTGTGTTATTCATTTCATTGTCCTGATTTGGTAGTACTTTATCAATGGTAAATTCTAAACAGAACTGTCGTGCAAGACGTCATGATGTTATTTACGTTATTTTAACGTTTGCCATTTTTTAATATGAATCGTTTAATAACCGCTGAACATGTTAAAATATTAGAAATATTTACAAAAATGATGATTCTGTCATATGTACATTTTAGGCATTACGAGCATATTACGATCGAAATAATCGTTGATCTGAACAACATATATCATCCACATCATCGAAATACTCGATAAAAACTATTGCTGCTGTTAGTGAAAGAGTTAAAGATGATCCAAATTCATCAATTACATGGGGCCTGGGCCCGTTCATATAATTTATGCTTATGTTAAGGCACATCATGACGTATTTTGCATTTCCAATTAATCTTCAATCTCATAAAATTGAGCTCACACAAAAACTAATGCCAGCTAAATATGCAACACTGATTGGGTCTTTGAAAAACAGCATTTGGATACCGATATTTGGCATAAAATTTTTTTCAGTCATGAGTCCTAGTTTTTACTTAGCGGATATGTCAACAAACAAAACTATCGCATCTCGTTTAGTGAAAATAGACAAGTAACCGTCGAAAGATAAATAGTCTGGAATTGTAATATGTCCAACTGTTTTTAAAATGACTAAGGGGTGACACACTACTAATGCTTAACTGGGATTTAGCACACAAGACCGCCACACCAACCTAACCTAAATTGTGACTGATCACTTAGACCTTGAAGTCTGAACGCTATTGCTACACAATTAACAGTTTATTTTGGTGTGAAATTAAAGATATGGATGTGAAATTTATGTGGTTTCAAGAGAAAGATTCCGCAAGTCACACAATATGCCTTGTTTTCAGTTTGTTCTGCTTTAAATTTTTTTGAACATGTAATATATCGAGATTTAAATACGAATAACCATCAAATTATAGACAAGCCATTGTCAGCTATGCTCCAATAAGCTATTGATAATTATCTCAAAACGATCCGGTACTAAGTAAGATGTCCCATGGAGGATATTTTACAGATGTGTTTCACGCCTAATACTGAAGTCCGAACAATATATTGAAATAAAACTTTGGAAGAAACTTTGTACTTTGTATTTGCTTTCTGACGATTTATAACACTTATCTGACATGTTTCTAGACCGTGAAAATTGTTGTTTTGAGTTCAAAGTCTACTATTTTGAATAAAAAAATTAGTTTTATTAGTAGTTCTGTTTATTTTGAAATCCAGCTTCTATATATTATGAAATATATTGTAAAACTTTATTCAGAAATTAACTCTAAACATCGCTGTATTAAATATGCTAGTAGAACCATGTGCTTCAAATGTAAAAATTATTAATACACAAATTTTATTTAAGATATCTATATCGGTAATATGCACTTTAAACACAAGTGTAAAAAAGATTGCATTTAGCATATATTTTAGAATTTTTGATAGATACTAAGAAACAAAGGTCTGAAAACATTAGAAGCAACAAAAGCCTCTTTGGACGATAATATTGAATCTTGTCTACTTGAGTATTAGACATAAAATAGTTTTAAATTATAATATTGATTGAAATTTTTAAAACAAATAAAAAAATATTATACTAGTTTATTAGAATTTATTATATTAAATTTATTTATTATATATTTTTGAAAAGATTTTTACGGTTCTTGTTCTATATAAATCCGTTTTGAATTTCCTATTTTCTTATAATTGCTCATGGATTGGACCAACCTTTTTCTGTGACAGAAAAATATCTATATACACGTATATATTAAAATTAATATAAAAATTTTTAAATTATAAGAAATTTCAAAAAATTCAATTGCTAAATAAATCTCTATAGTGAATAAATTTTTTCTTAAATGAAATTTAAAATTTTTTTATATATCGTAATACTACGGTCTTTGCGCAAAAACCGAATTACGTTATTATTAAAACTACGATCACACTAGAAGTACAGTACACTAAGAAGCTTTATGTGTTGCCTAATAAAATAATCTAGTATAAATATGTTTTATCTGCTTAAATTTAATATAATCAATAAATATTATTATTATATTTGAAACTAACTCAAATTCTAATAAAGAAATGTTCTTCGTTTAAACATAATTTTTACTTAGTCGCATATATGCTTTACAATAAGCGAATTCATAAACCGAAGGAAAGCTTTCTTGCTCAAAATTTTTACAAAGACCGTATTAATATATTATAATACGGTCAATGAGAAATACATGAATTCAAGCACCAGCAAAAGTTAATTTAAATTTTAATGACGTTTTCGATTGGTAAATCTGTTGTAATTTCTTCAATCAAGATGTTTTTTTACTGCAAAATTCATTTTTGATTTGCAGATCCATATAACACTCGAGATTAATTTATAACACTGCACATTAATTTATAACACTCTAGATATTTTGTCAGAGTAGAAAGGTTACCCTGTTTTAACTGTTTTATATGATTTGACAGATAAACTGTGATTTAATTCGATATATGTATTTGTTAATAATATAAATGTTTACTAGTACGACTAAAAAATGTTAAATTACTCTATAAATGTTCGACTGAAGTAAATCCAGGTTTACCAATCGAAAACGTCATAAGCAAAATCTGGTTTAATTAATTTTAACTTTATACATAATAAATTCATACGTTTTATTTGAATGTATTAAAATATTTTAGTTTAATTAGTTATGACATTATGGCACTAGAAACTATTAAATTTTTATTAGTTGTTAGTAATATATTTTTGTACCACAATTAAATGGTGTTAATCAGTTTAAGTATATTTTCAAGAATATTTTGTTTAATTAATACACAATGTTATATTATAGAATTATTGTTGTTAAACTGAAAACTTGAAAATGGACTAGAAGTGTCATTAATTATTAATACGAAAGTCTGTAAAGTTAGAAAACAATTTAATTAGTGGACGATGAAATATTGATAAGTACGTGCAAACCTACAGTTGCGGTCAAAATAATAGCATCAATGCTAATTTCTCTATAAGATTTCTGTTGGTGTATCTTTTGAGGTATTCACACGTAACGGGTTTATCTAGAATATGTATGTGATTCAGAGGCTCCATATAAAACAATATTAATTTGATCAGTCCGCAATATGTTTAGCCCATTTAATTACTGGTCATTCTAAGTAATCTTCGGTGAATTTCTATGTCTTTGCCTATATACTCTTTAGAAAATAAGGATACATTACGTAGGAACTGTGTTATCTCGCATTATCAATCGAATAATTTCCACGGCCATAGTAACGTCAAAACCTTTTCAAGTCTATAACGAGAGTTAGTTTGGAATGTAGACTTTTAGTTTTCTGATCATTTTGGAGAGGTTTTACCATCAAGGAGCCGATTCTGCATAATTTTTCGTACTTCAGACATACAATCTTTGCCTTAATCTATTTCTGCTGACTATGACTTACATTTTATTTGAAACACAAAACAAAAAATATTTTCAGCGCCCTTTCTTTGATGCTATTTTTTGACTGCTTGTAGAAAGAGGTTTTTAGAAGCATCCGGAATTTAAAAAGTTCTATTAACATTTTTAAAGTAACCCAAATGTTGATTAATTAATATAAATAATAAATTCTGTAAAGTAAAATTTTGACTTTTTGTACCATTTTTTTTTTGACTGTAGCTGTAGATATATATATGATAAAAAATATTTTTTAATAAAATTAATATTATATCGAAAATAATTTTTGATTAAGTTAATTGTTACACAATAAGTTTATACCACACAATCTACATAAGATTGTAAATAAATTTTTTTTTTATTAATTTTACAAAAAGTTTATTTTATATCTAAAACACATATAAAAATATAGTATTTCACAAATGCTGTTGTCTTCATTCAAATTCAATATTTATATCAAATAATTAAGAAATTATTAAATAACAGAATAAAAATTAAAATACATATAACAGAAAAATAAATTTTGCAATAAGAATAAGAAAAAAATCAAAAAATATAGAGTTAATTGTATATGAAAATAGATGAAATTAAAGGAAACTATATACGGTTTAGGATATTGTCTAGTAGAGTCAACAATATAACAAAACATTTAAAAACATAAAATGTGTAAACATTTATATGATAAATATAAAGCACATGAAGGATAAATAAAAATAAATATATATATGTATTTAAAATAGGAATTTTGTAGGGATATAAAACAAGAAATAAAAAAAAAAATATGTATGGAACACATTAAAACTTGAATAAAAATGTAAATATTTAAATTGGAAGAATAGATATAAATGATTTATAAAATATTTTTTGAAATAACACAGTTTTAAAAAAAAAGGAACATAAAATATAAAATAAAATATATATAAAACATACATTAAATATACACAAAATGTATATAAAATATATATAAGATATATATAAAATATATTTAAAAAAATTTATAAAATATATGTAATATATATATATATAATATATATATATAAAATATATTTAAAAAAATTTATAAAATATATGTAATATATATATATATATAATATATATATAAAATATATTATGAAATAACAGAAAAATTTTTTAAAAAAATCACATATTTAAAATTACAGATGAATACAATAATGAATATACTCGTATATTTAATATAGGAAGAACATATTTCAATTTAGTAATATAACACAATAAAAAATAAATATTTTTTAGACTTTAAATTGCGTGCAAAAAAAAAATATTAAAAAACCATTCAAAAAAAAAAAATTAAAAGATAATGAAAAACTTAAAAAAATCATTAAAAAAAAAATGAAAAATAATATAAATAAAAGATTTAAAAAATGTAAAATAAATATATTATGAAAATCAAATAAATGATCACAGCGAAATTTAAAATTTCATTTGTGATATATATATTTATAGTAAAATAAAAACAAAACTGAAGAAATTTAATTTAAATAATAAATAATTCAAGAATTTTTAAAACGAAACCTAATTAGCTGAGAACTAAGCTATATAATATTACAAAAATATCTATTATAATGTTTGAACTCTGGTTTTAATGAATCTTAAACTTGGAATTTAAGATATTTTTAAGTTTTCAATATTTAAACCTAATTCCTTACCCATATTTTCATTTATATTTATGCTGTTTTTTCGTTCCTGATTATTTACTCGACTTTGTTGTTGTACAAAATTTTTTTTTCTGTTCCTATGTCTTACACGTTTTTTGGTGATCGGTTCCTTGCCAGACGTAACCAATAAACCTTGTAACTTTTCATAAGAAGAAATGACTTTAACAGTAACCAATGAAAGTATTTGTAATTTTAATTCTGGAACGCTTGGATCTTTTTCTTTAACTAATATAAATGATGGTGCATTTTTGTTATCAATCACAACTTCTTGATTTTTGTATTGAACTGCAATGTCTATGCCATTTTCAATACTGAGAACAGTCATCTTATTTTTGAATATTTCCGTTATTACGCAACGCATTTCAATGGATCCCTGATTCTTTATAAGACGTTTAAAATATACGAGTATTGACTCATCTCCAGCAGTTTTAGCATTGAATTTTTGATCATTACATACTTTAGCCAATTCCTTTAGTTCATCAACATCGCGTTTTGGCGGCTCCATATAGTTTAAAGCTGCTGCGAGCAGTCTATGAAAATTGTATATAATACATAAAATATTGTTAATAAAAAAATAATAGAATAATTTATTGAAAAACAGCTTTCTTTAATTTTAGAGAATATAGTATACATCAAGCGGGGAACACTCGCGACTTAAAGGTTATATTAAGCATTTTCAACCAAATTAGGAACGTAATTCTTCATTTTACTAATTCATTTTTAAAAAATTTCTAATTACTAATGTTTGTAATATAGAAAAAATGGAAGTTGTTTTCTATTCCCCGATGCCCACCCCTGAGGTTTACCATTTTTATCAATATTTTCCTATAACGTACCTGTGTACCATAACATCTGGGTAACGTCGTATTGGGCTAGTGAAATGTGTGTAAATGGGTATAGATAATGCATAATGCTGCATATCACTTGGTTTTGTTACGATACCACTACAGAAATACCTGCAAATACAAAAATTTATTATAAAAACAATATTCGGAAAAATCCAACGAATTTTTGCATCGTACTTTGCTCGAGCCATAGGTTTCGTTAGTAAATTGTTAATGTAAGCCTCCATTGCATCTGGGTTCTCTGCATGTTCACAAATCTCTCGCATACTTTCTTGCAAGGCTTTGGAGGTTTCATATTTTAGTGTCACACCAAACGTAAGTAATTTTTCATAGACTTTTTTCATTCCGTTGGTCAGTGGTGGTTCATGGTAACGCAAAATGGAAATATTTGGATACTTTTCATATATGAATTTCGCAACGGTTTGGTTTGCAAGTAACATGAATTCCTCAATTAAAAAGTTTGCTTCAATTCGGTCCTCTATTTGAAAACTAAGCGGTTCAGCTGTAAGTGGATCTAAAGAGAAACGCATTTTCGGATTATTTATTGACAAAGCACCATTTTCATAGCGTTTTTCGCGCAGCTTTACAGCAATTGAATGCAATAATAGTATTTTTGAAACTATGTCAGAAATTGTAAATCCATTAAGTATTGTGGGTAAATCGTCAATATCAAAGTTTTTTTCTGGATTATCAATGATTGTTTGTGCATGCTCGTAAGCAAATTGTGTGCAAGAGTTTAACACTGAACGTGTAAAACGAGGTTGAGTTAATACTTCTCCATTTCCATTCATTCGCCAAAATACTGAAAAAGCATACTTATCTTCACCCGGTAACAGTGAGCACTTGAAACATAGTGATTTTGGTAGCATATGTATAACATCATTCACTAAATATATTGATGTGGCACGATTTTTAACTATATCGTCCAGTTCTGTATCTTCTAAGAGGTAATGAGAAACATCTGATATGTGAACACCAACTTCGAACTCATTTTCACTTATCACTTCAATTGACATTGCGTCATCTAAATCGCGTGCTGTTAGTGGATCTATTGTGAAAATACAACATTTTCGTAAGTCTTCTCTATGAACTAAGTCTTCAGGCACGATTTGCAAGGGTTTGTTATCGAATATTGCATTAAACCGTTCTTCGTAGGGTTTTATTTCATGTAAACCATTTGAAATTAAAATAGCTTTCGTTTCAGTCTCAAGTTCACCAGCTTTACCGATGGGTTGTATTATTTCACCTATACAATGTCCATTAATATCTGTCTTAACAAATTTGGCAAGGAATAACATATCCATTTCTAGTTTTTCAATTTCTTTTAAATATTCTTGACAACTCGACTGTGGTATAAATACCATTGGTGTGCGTATGTCATTTGGTCTTAATTTATAATAATTTTCTCCATCGTGTAGCTTTACGAAGTTCCTGAAGCAAACCGCACCAATGAATTGACGCTGACTGCCCTCTTTAACAATGGCAATTGCAAACGCTTTGGGGCAGTGCATGACAATACTATTATTTAACCCATCTGATTCAATTTGGTCATCGTCATCTGAAAAAAATTAAATAAATAAAAAGTTTAAAAAAAGCTAAAATGTATCATACCACCGGATCCAGAAAGGTCAACAATTGTTGTAGACACAGGATTAAATACAAATGCACGTACAGTATCGCCTTCAAAAGCATACATGCGTGCTACAGGCAAGTATATAGCAGCGTCGCGTATTCCGCTGTTTCTCTCAGTTGATAGCGGAATAAAAGATTGGCTATTATTCTTGCGATTAATACGTATCTCTGCTTCTACGATACGACCTAAATCATTTTCCACAAGACGATTGGCATATTCCTCCAGATTCATTGAATAATTAAATATTAGAGATTCAGCAAGTTCTGTGCCTTTTTCGACATAATCCTTAACAGACGAATTTATATACTTCTCCATCTCATATTTAGCAGTTTTTTTTTTAGTTGGTTCCTTGATTTCAACAAGCCCATTAGTTTTAGTCGAATTGGCATTTCTTTCATTAAATTGATCATTTTTTGACATCTCACGATAACGACTACATGTTGGTCCATCTAGATCATAAACAAATATTTGACGACCGCGCAAGTTGGGTATTTCACTCGCACACTTAATTACACTCTCTTTAAGATTTGGATTTTGTTTAACTATTTCTGTTATTAACTTGATTAGTCCTTCATTATGTTGGGAAATATCTTTTCGAGTGCGCGGTACTGCAAATGTTTCCCTAACTGATTTGGTTGACGTAACGGAATTTTGCTGTGCTTTTCTACTGAAATCTTCGGTTGCGACTGCGGCTTTTCTCTTTTCTTGTTTACGCTCTACTTTTTTACTGACATCTTTCATAAATGATTTTATTAAATTACGAGCGCAAGCGTCATTTTCTGCTGACAATCCTAAAGAATGTCTTGTTTGTTCTTCTTGGATCTCCAACATTTTCCTTCTTTCGTTTAATGTCTTACGCACTGTATTAATTTTTAAATTCATATCAGTTCTCTCCGAACCATTATTGTCGATTTTATTTTTTAATGTAACTTCAGAATCCGATTCAGATTTGTTGGAACCATTTCCACTCTTCTTCCTTCTTGGCGCCATTTCTAGACTGTGTGTTCATTAATACTGCTGAACTTAATTTTATAAATTTCTCTGGTTGCGAAATTTCACAAAACCGTATTCAACTAAAATTATTCTATGATAGAAAAGACTCCGCTTCCAGCTGACAAAGATTCCCAATAACAATAAGAATTAGTGTTGCAAACTGAGTAAATGGCTGAAATCGATTTCATAAGTCGAAATGAGCACATTTTCACAAAATTTTGAAAAACAACCCATATTACTACATTAAACACTTTTATATCGAAAATTCATTGCTTTGCAAATAAAAGAACTATATATTATGAAATATTTTTTATTAAAATTAATTTTTTAACATATGTGAAAGAAATTTTTTAAAATATTTTGAATATACTAAACAAATCAAATTAAATAAAATCAGCAATTGCTACGCATTTATTAATGTTAAATTTTTGAATACTGCTTATACTACATTTCCACTGCTTACTTAGTGAGGTACTTAGGTCATGTGCGAGTTAGGCTAAGGACGTGTGCGAGTTAGGCTAAGTTGATGCTAAACCAAATGGGAGATTTTTTGGGATTTTTTGCACTGCACACATTTTGCCATTTATCAACACGTATCGACACATCAATACATTATCGACACACTTAGAATTTCCTCATTTAGAACGCAACTTATACGGCGTTTACATTGGCCGAAAATGGCTCATTTTGAATGAGCCATTTGAAAGTGTTTACATTCGTTCTATTTCATTTGTTCTCATTTCAACATCTAATTTTTCAACTTGCATGTTGATTTGATTTTTGGCCAGTGCCAAAAAAATGTTGCATGAAGGTTAAATATGCCTTCAAACCTTACAATATAAACTGAAAACTTGTTTCTAGATTCGATTTATTTATTTTTGGGAAGTAGAAGTTCCAAAAATTGGTGCATCGTTTTAAAGAAAATGCAACCACCAAACATTTTTTTACCTTTTTTTGTAAATATGTCAAAACAGCTTTTTCAAACTGTCAAAATGCCATGAAGAGCTTTCATTTAGAGTATGTTCAATGGATTCCTTTGCATTTGGAACGTATGTGGAATGCATTCGAACGTCATTCATACAGAATGTGAGAAAATTGCTCATTTTGTGCTTGAAATTTTATATGCAAGAATGAGCCATTCGATACTCATTTTCGATTTTTGACCAAAATGAGCCATTTTCGGCCAATGTAAACGCCGTATTAGCCTAACTCGCACACGACCTAAGTTGCGTTCTAAATGCGGGAAATTCTAAGTTGTGCCGATAATGTAGTGTTGTGTCGATACGGGTTGATAAATGACTAAATGTGTGCAGTGCAAGAAATCCCAAAAATATCCCATTTGGTTTAGCATCAACTTAGCCTAAATCGCACATGTCCTATAACTATATTGATAACAAACAAAGAAATAAAAAATGGAAAAAAAAAAAATATATTGACTAGTCACTATGTCCGTTACAGTCCATTGGTGCGGATATCCTCTTTCCATCTTCAAAATTGATTAGTCTATCAACTCTCTCTAGCATCTTTTCATCAACCGTATTTTTTTTTAAGTGTTTCTTCCATTATGTGGCCAATATAAACACCTGCTCACCGTCTTTAGTGCATATATTCCAAATTGTTTTTTGTTTTATGATTTCTTTTGTATTTATGATTATATGAATTATATAAAAACAGGCAGTGACTGCTTGAAATTATAAGGAAAAAATGTGTCAAAAACTAAACCGAGTCAAAATGTAAGCATATGTGGAAAATGCTAAATATGGCTTTTGATATAATTTAATTAAGTTAAGGTAAAGTAAATTGATATTTCCTAGGGATGCACTGCACTTATGTAAATATTTATTTATATGTGTTACAAATATGCAATTACAAATATGCAATATGCAATTTATTGCACTTATTTGTTATTTTTCTTTCTTTATTAAACACCTTGAAAAATTTTCGCAATGGTAACACCTAATTTACCTAATTTTTACTTAATTTACATTACCAAAAATGTTGATAAATACCAACATTCGCTGCCATCAATTTACTTCAACTCGCACACGGCTTATATGGCGTTTACATTGGCCGAAAATGGCTCATTTTGGTCAAAAATCGAAAATGAGTAGCGAATGGCTCATTCTTGCATATAAAATTTCAAGCGCGAAAATGAGCAATTTTCTCACATTCTGAATGAAAGACGTTCGAATGCATTCCACATATGTTCCAAATACAAGGGAATCCATTGAACATACCCTAAATAAAAGCTTTTCATGGCATTTTCACAGTTTGAGAAAGCTGTTTTTGACATATTTACAAAAAAAGGTAAACAAATGTTTGGTGGTTGCATTTTCTTGAAAACGATGCACCTCTTTTTAGAACTTCTACTTCCCAAAAGGTAATTAATCTAATATGGCGTTTACACTGGCTGAAAATGGCTCATTCTGAATGAGTCATTTGAAAGTGTTTACATTCGTTGTATTTCATTTTTTCTCATTTCAAACAGCTGATTTTTCAACTTGCATGTTGATTTAATTTTTGGTCTGTGCCAAAGGTTAAATATACCTTCAAACCTTACAATATAAACTGAAAACTTGTTTCTAGATTCGATTTATTTATTTTTGGGAAGTAGAAGTTCCAAAAATTGGTGCATCGTTTTAAAGAAAATGCAACCACCAAACATTTGTTTACCTTTTTTTGTAAATATGTCAAAACAGCTTTTTCAAATTGTCAAAATGCCATGAAGAGCTTTCATTTAGGGTATGTTCAATAGATTCCTTTGCATTTGGAACATATGTGGAATGCATTCGAACGTCTTTCATACAGAATGTGAGAAAATTGCTCATTTTTGTGCTTAAAATTTTATATGCAAGAATGAGCCATTCGCTACTCATTTTCGATTTTTGACCAAAATGAGCCATTTTCGGCCAATGTAAACGCCGTATAAGTTAAAAATATGTTTTAAGTTTATATTGTAAGGTTTGAAAGCATATTTAATCTTCATGAAATATTTTTTGGCACAGGACAAAATCAAATCAACAAGGAAGTTGAAAAATCAGCTGGTTGAAATGAGAACAAATGAATTACAACGAATGTAAACTCTTTCAAATGGCTCATTCAAAATGAGCCATTTTCGGCCAATGTAAACGCCATATTAAATGTGACATAAGAATACATGGCATACGTTTAAACGTACTGTACTATTTGTTTCAATATGTTAAGATGTACTTGCACTGAACATATCTTATGATTTCTGTCTACAAATGACAGCTTTTACCGCGCCATTTCGCTAAATTATTTTGACAATGTGTTGAAAGGAATTTTTATTTCTAGTTGATGAAATTTTCTCCAATATAAGTTGTTTTTTTTCATCGAAATTCATTATTCTGAACTTTTAATAATTTACAATGCAATGAAACCATATGAGATAGAATATTTGCTACGTTGTAATTATTATGCTTAATTATGTGTTGTGTCAGCAAAATATTGGTGAGCTTGTAAAGACACCGATTAATGGTTAATCAGTTTACTAAAAAAATTTGGCTTGAATTTAGTACAGATTAAAAGTTGTTTTCATTTAATTTTCAAAATTTACTTATTTTAATGCTTCTGTGCTCTAAGGAATAGTAACTTGCCTGTCGAAATTTTGTGTTTCTGTAACTGAGTTGTTACTTATTATTTTATTTTGATTTAAAGATTGTAAATGTTTATATCCGCTATGAAAATGACTGATTCTCACACCTCTATTGAAAGCTCTGGAAGTGATTATAACACGACAACGGCACAAGTGGACACGGCTGTTAGTGCCATAAACGAACCAGTGCAACAAAGTAATGGAACGAATGGTGGCTGTGAATCGGAATCAACAATTATACCATTTGTAATAAAAGCACCAATTGCAAATTCAAAGTTGATATTGCAAAACATGGAGGAAGTTTTAAATTCGGTCAAAAAGAAACATCGTCAAAAACACAGACGAAAAAGAGAACAGAAAAAATTGGCTCAAATTGAAGCTGCAGAGGCAGGATTAAATCGTATTTCAAATAAACCCGAAAGTACAAAGGTTGAAAAAAGTGAAAGAAAACATAAAAAGAAGCCATTACAAGAAAAATCTGCACTTGAAAATGATTTAATTCATACGAAAACAAAGAACAAATATCAAAAATCCCCACTAAAATCGGTTTCCAATGAAAGTATATTGAACCATTTTTCACGCACACCAAAAAAAAGTGATAATATTGAGTCAGATGTCATTACAAATAACAAAAACGAAACTACCAGCGTCAATGAGATAAAAAAAACCAACGCTTTTGAAGTATTAATGAATGCACGCAATAAAAGTATTGGTTCAAATTCACCTGGCAGAGAAGTATCGGAAGTATGTGAAGTAGATGCTGAAAAGTCGGCAATAAAAATAAAACGGAAGTTATTGCTTGAAGATTGGGCTGAGAAGAAAGGAGCATCCAAACGAAGGGCTGATGAAGAAATGCGTGAAGAATACATAGAACAAGAAATGAAACATCGTGCAAAACGGTGAGAGTACAAATTATTAATTTTGAAATAAAATATAAATAAATAACTTTAATATATATATTACTTGCAGATTAAAGAAAATGCTTACTAATGGTCACACCCCAAAGAGCTCACCAGTTTCACGATTAAAAGAAAATCATAAAGCAAACGATGGATTATCGCAGAGTTCAAATGCCGTTACTCCAACAAGCACTTGTAAAGAGAAAGTAAAACGAAAAAGCCGTATTCGAAAACGTTTGGAATCATTAGAATCAGAAGAATCTTTAAATGACATTAAAAAATTGGATGAAGAAACAGTGGAGTTTTTATCTAAACTAAATTCACCTACAAAGAAACGTGATAGTCTATTAGGATATTTTTCAAAAAAAGAGTCACCTAAAGACTCCATAAAAAAAGAAGTGGAAACAACAAAAACTAAAGAAGATAAACAATTGACACCAAAAATCAATCAAAAACGTAATTCAAAACGAAGAACACCGATTGAAATAAATTCCAGTAATAACATTAAGCAAACCAACGAGAAATTGTCAGAAGAACAGTGTACAACACCTAGTGGCCGTCCTAAACGATCTTGCGCTGATAAAGCACGTTATGATTATGATTTGGATGATATAAATACAGAGATATCTAATAAAGCTAACAGTTCAAGGTCAAAAGCAACAAAATGTAAGGATGATAGAGATGACATCGTTGAAGTTATCAATTTAGATGAGAGTAGTTCAAATGAAACACCAACGCAAACTCCTAAAAAATTAGCACCAGTATTTGTACGTTCTATTCCGAAGCCCCCACCAGATCCTGAAGTGTTAAAAGCACGTAAGGAATTTTTGATGTCAGGGTTGCCGGAAAAAATACGATTAGAATGGGCGAAACAAAAGCAACAAGAACTGATATATGAAGAATCAATAGAATTGTTTCCAAAAATAGCACATGTACAACAATTTGATGCTAATGATCTATCATTGGTGCAATATAAAGCTTTTGAAATAAAATTCAGAGCAGACACAGATAATGATAGTATAAAGAATTCAAACAGAAAATCTAAAAGTAAAAGTCGTTCTTCCATTGGTAACCTTACAAGTTGCACTATTCAAGATTTTCGTACGATAAGCAAATGCAACATCAATGACGTGGTGAGAAATGTTAAACTGCAGTCGTTGCCTGTTTTGCAAAATAAAATTAAAATCGTTAAAATGTGGAAAAGTAAATTTTTAAATTTTCCAACCTACAAGTGTTACAACCAATTGCGTGAAAAATATCGATATTTCAGTGCGATAGATTCAGCCCAAAATACGGAGCAAGTAACGGAGTCTTTTGTAGTAACTCGTCGCACTACTCGAACTACAGAGACGAAAAATAACTTTGATGATAGCACTGAGTATAAACCACCAAGTGCAGCACCAAATGGTGAATTGCTATTCAATGAAAAATACAGACCAATGTTGTTCGAACAAGTTCTAGTAAATTTGACCCCTATAACGCAGCTACGGGACTTTCTCTCTAATTGGTCTGATAGCAACAGCAGTAGTGTCCGCAGCTCACAAGCATTAGATGATTCTGTAGATTTTGTAAATGATTCAAATTCAAGCGCTTATGGTGTTTGTAACACAATGGTTCTGCTGGGTCCAATATCAAGCGGAAAAACGAGTGCTGTATTTGCTTTAGCAAATGAGATGAACTTTAACGTTTTAGAAATCAATGCTGGCATGAAACGAACAGGAAAGAAGCTTATACAGGAATTACAGGTAAGCTTATAACTATAATAATATATTTTCACTAGCTTCGTTCGATCAGTTAACTTACTTGAGATTGCTTGAATTACTCAAGTAGTCTAAGTAACTTAACTGGTCCAACGAAGCCAAATCAAACATACTATAAGAGAGTTTTTATACGTTGAATCGAAATTCCGTTTAACTTTAATAATAAAAACAACTTTTTAATAGGCGGCAATACTATACAATCTTTATTTATTACCATTAATTTTTATTATAGTCATACCAGTATTTCCATAAATGTTTTCGTGCTATGTCCCAACCAAACTATTTTGTAGCCTACTAGTGCCCTTAGTCTGTTGACCCTCGTAAGAAATTATAAATAACAGAAATAAAAAAAAAATTGAAATGCAAGAATAGGTACACTTCCTCGAATTTCTTAGTTCCTTTACTTAATTTAAGAAGATCAGGTAATATGAAAGCTTAAACATTGTTCTTGGTCAAGATATCATAAACTAATTATCTTAATATGGTTTTTGCAAATGCTGGACAATAATATACAAAGTGTTCTGTATTGTCCACAGTCTTGAGGCAAGAAAGGTATGTTGAAAATCTGTTGACATCCAATCTGAAAATATTGTGTTCACTCTGCGGTGACCCCGATCAGCCAATTAAGATATTACAAGAGATGTTTCGTCATTTTTCTCAAGCCTTCTTTACCAAGTTTTTCGTTCGTTTAAAAATTTCCCTTCAGAATCCTAGAAAGTCATTGACCAAATGAGAGAAATACCGCAAACTTAACACTAAATAGATAATCTGTAAAGCAGATAACATGAAAGGAATTACAAGGCAAATACATGGGTTAGGATTCGGATGGGTGTTTGTTATAAATGTATTAGCATATCGTCCATTAGCCAAATAGTCAAGTTAATTCATCCTTCACAATACCACAATGCTCTGGAACCTATATAAGATGTTAGGTAAGGTTGTAGTGGCGACCTCGTACACCAAACCATACTTGAACTTAAATAATATACTGTTATGATATCACAGAGATATAAGATATAGATATAGTTTTACAATAAATGGTTATCAGTTATAAGCTTAGTTAATTATGAGATGAATTTTATATCAACTTACTTATAACATGACTTAAACTTTAAGTATAAAAAAAAATAATACTGCAAATAGATTTTAATATGTATTAAAGAAAAATTATTAATTTTCGAAGGAGTTGTTATTAATGAAAAATTGTTTTTGCGTTCCATTTTTATATTTAATCCTAAACTAAAACTAATTTACTTTTTATGTTTATAGGAAGCAACACAATCACATCAAATACGTAAAGAGACTAGTGCAGGCCATATTAAATCCAAACAGAAATTATTGAAAATGTCACTTAAGAAACAAAATTCTCAAACATTCGACAGCGATTCCTGTAACAATGATTTGAATATAAATGCACGAAAATCCTTAATATTAATAGAAGATGCAGATATTGTGTTTGAACAAACTGATGCAGGTTTCACGGATGCTATTTATACACTTGCTGCAAGTTCGAAGCGTCCAGTTGTTATTATTGCATCCAACGCTAATTGCCAACATCTTCAACGTCTAATGAACCAGAATATGATTCAATTTTGTTCACCAAATACATTAAGTATTTCAAAATTTTTCTCTGTATTATCTTTAATAGAAAATTGTCCCATTGATGTTGAAGAAATTACATCCTTATATATATACAATCGTAAAGATGTGCGTAAAACTATAAATGAGTTACAATTTTTTATACAAAGCGGCGGTGATGCTCAAGAGCAAACACAGAAAAGTAAAGATAAAAGACTTGTAGAAAAAACGGATCAGAATAAACAGTATTTTGCTTCACCAGAAAAGCGAAAATATTCTCAAGATACAAACACATTATGTGATAAAGATGATAACCTTGGTAGTAATACAGAAATTGATGGTGAAATAATTGAAGATATGGATTATTTACATAGGAAAATATTTCATTTTTATACAATGGATCAAAATGTGTACCGAAACATACCTTTTCCCATTGATTTTGATATTTTACATTTCAATGTCAAAAATATTTTACAGATTTCACAAAATGTACAAAATGTAACGAAAGATATTGAAATTGATGATCAACCAAAACCAACAAGAAAATCGCGCACGCCAAAGAAGTCACCCCAAAAAAAATTGGAAAAAAGCGTTCAAAAATCAGATCCTCTAAGCTATTTAACTGAATTTTATAAGAATATTTCTATAGCTGCACAAATAGGTGATTGCAATGGAAAGAATTTATTGGAATCATATATAATAGACAGACAAGTTGAATATTTGACAGAGCATATAACCCACGATTTAGTGGATAGATCAATAGACCATAATTTGAATGCTAAAATTGTTTCATATAATACTTTTCATGAACCAAGAACAGGGTAAGTAATAATACTATAAAGACTTAATGGCTAATTTTATACAATCAAAACATTAACTTATAACTTCTCGGAGGTAATAATTTAATCGAATTAGATTAGGTTAGGTTGCGATGGCGGTCATGTGTACCAACGCTCACTTAAACACAAATAATTGATACAATATTTAGGACACTGTTTATACGCCACACTTGAAGAATCTCACTAAAATAGATATCTGAAGCATCTAGTGTACGAACAGCGTAGAAGAGAAGTAACTCCTTTATTCAAAGAAAAGAATATCGACTTGATGTATCGATGAACAATATTCCGTAATTTTAAAAAATAATAGCTCTGCCACTCCTAGCCAAAGTTGGAAAATGATACATGTCCTCCTTATACGTAAAGCTTTAACTTACGACAAAAGTCGTTAAACGATAGACCGATAACATAGTATCTACGTTGCTTCGATTTTAGTTACAGCAACTTACTTGTGTGAGTTTTGTAAAACTTGGGCCAAGAGAGTCTTTTGATCTGATAGTAGTCTTCACCTACCCAGGCTACCCCAACCTCAGGTATTTACATTAAATGTCAATAAATGTCAATAATGTAAGGAAGACACCAATATTTGAAAAGTGAAGAGAACAAAGCAGTTTGATTATTTAACAGTTATCCGAAAGAGTCTCTGTGTCTAGGTATCCATATTAGTTACACACTGACAGACTTTTCTCAGAGTATACTAGCATCTTTAAAATACAAGAAAGGTAACTGTAACACGTATCACATATTTAATTGCAGCTTCCATACAACTGAAAATTGATATATTTATTTTGGACTTCACATGACAGGATCCATTTTGCTACATAGTGTATATTTAGATAGTTAAAGCGATGCTCTAAGACCTAACTTATAACAAATGATGTCACTGTCGACATGTAATTTAGTTAAATTATAAAGATATTTCAAATGTGTAAAGTGGTATAGTATAGCACAGAAAATTGTATGATATTTTATATCACTAAATTCAAATTCGAAACTGGGAGTGTTCCAATTTAAGAAAGTTGATAAAGATATCAAATCGATTCATCGACGCAGATTACAACTTCAATAGAATATCCTCATAATTAATTCAAATTTTATGAATGAATATACAAGCATAGATTTGTTTGGTTCACCTTTTGAGTGAATGAAGATACTTTGACGAGATTGATGTATGGTGTTTACTTGACCGGATCAACGCCATTGCTGAAGGCGTAGTAATCAAATTATTATATATCAAATCACTGTTACCTTACTCTAAGTATGGATGATATTGTTCAATATTTAATAACAATAAGATTGTTATTTTTATTCACAAGATCTTTATCAGTAGAATAAACATTTAAAACATTTATTGTGATATATTAATGATTTAAATATGTGCACAATAATTATTCAACTGAATCAGAAATAAGGTGTTAAAATTATTTTAGATGTCACTTTGTGTCATGATAACAAAGGTTTTTGATAATTGATTTAAATGAAGTTAATTTTATTTTTTCAAATGACTCAAAATATTCTATTGACACATAGGAAATTCCTTAGTAATGAGTAATTTTAAATTTATTATTAAATCAATTATATTTTTACAATTTCTAATTTGTGTTATAAATGAATATAACCTAAAGTAATTAAAAGCTTTAATTTTTTATTATTTTTATTTTCAGATATTCGGTTTCCAGGTATTTGAGTACAAACACCATACGTAGTCAACGCGCACGTTCTTTAGATTTCGAACCAGCATTGCGATCAATATGTCGCAGTGAAAAGTTACGTTCATCCATGGAAAGACGTTCGACACGTTTCTATCATTATTTACGCAATGCTTCTACAAATATGTGCAATTTTTCGACGAATGTCTTCGACGCTGCATGCGATGTACTGCAAGAGCAAGAAAGTGATAGTGAAATGGAAACGTAGTAAAGACTACAGATCCTTAACCAATGTCTGACATACATTCACTGACCTAGTTAAGTTTAGCTATTAGATCTATTAATTTGACATTGAAAGTACAGATTAAGAGTTAGGAACTTATAACATGAGTTTGAATTAGTTACTCTAGAGCAGCAGTAGTAATGAAAAAACGCTCCAGTCTTACTCTGAATTTGAAAATAGTATATGTGAGAGTAAAAGCAATACAAATTCAATGTCTTGCTTTGTTCTTTGTTTAAAATGTTAAATATTCATAAATATTTAAATATTATAATATGTTATATATTTCAAATGTTTCCCACTTCGACAGCTCTTGAAGTGGGAAAGAACAGCAATATCACACAAATAAATTTTATTTTGGGTTTTTGCGTTCCGACTGTTGCTGTAAATATGTCTACCCTTTAAGATAGAATCAAATTTACACCAAAAAAACACCAAAACGCATGGCGTTTATAAGTTTATATCTGACAGGTTTGTTTTTACTATATGTTCGTACTGCAAGAAGTCTAAGAGCAGAGTAGAGTTAAACACTATGAGTTTTATGCTTCTGCTCTCATATGTGCTCTTTTTAAAATCAGAGTAGAAACGGAGCAAAAATAAAAACTATTAAGAAAGAGGATAGCATTTTCAATCATTGTTTATAACTATAAGAAAAGTTTTAACTCACTTCTAGAAAAGTTTCTACTTTTGCCAGAAAAAGTTATCCTTAAGCATGTAAGCCTTATTACATTTTTATATGAATATATATATATATGAAATGTTTACAAATAATTTTTTTAATGATTAAATAAAAATATTTGTTCATGTTGTTTATGTATATTGAATTAAATTAAAATAATTGTGAAGTTTATATAAAATTTTATTATCTTTCATGTTCGATTTAAAGACTAGTATTAGTATATATAAATAGTTTAATTAACTTAAAGATATTTTCTAGAATTATAAATAAAATTTTTAGAATTATAAATTTGGTTTTCTTGAATAAACTAAAATTATTTTGAATTATTGTCTAACTTAATATAGTACAAAACTTTTATGTTAATATGTATATCCTAATTATTACACTTTTTCTATCGAATGCATATTTATCTCTAATATAGTCAAGAAACTAACAACAACAAAATAATTTAAAACCTTCCTTTTCCGCTGGAGCTGATTTTTGTTGCTGTGGTTCTACTTTTGTTGAGATATTATTTATCACAGGTGACGAGTTCGTGGTTTTGACGTTCTGAAAAAAAAAATAATTTTAAATTTAGATTTATTATCTCTTAAAATGGCGCTGTATTTTAGATTATTAAAATATATCACTTTTGATAGTTAGTTATCTTTTTGTTTAGTTTTACGTTAAAAACTTAATAAAAGAAAAAGTACTTGATTAAATTTCGTTGTTATATCCGGTAAATTTGTTATGTCTACCATTAGATATTTCACCTATAAATATTTCTAGTTATTTATTTTTATTGATATTAATCAAAACGTTCAATTTGCACCCAAAAAAATAAGACAAAATTAATAATTTCGTGTCGTGTTAGTTATCCCTTATTACAATAGTAGTAGAAAAGAAATAGATAATTAATTGTCCTTAGTCAACGCTTCGTCGAATTTTGTTTCTATATTGGTCGTTATTCTTCAATAGCCGTGTTCATTTTGAGTCGCTAAATTCCAGTGCTTTGAGTGAGATTTCTTGCAAGTGGGTTTAGCTGATTCCTGAGTTTGACTGTGAGTTGTTGACAATCACATCTGCAACTGTGTTAATTCGAATGTCTCTATAACTATTTGTGTTTTTCATATTATCATCATCCGTGACTATACAGACCTAAGCCTGTTTAATAATATCTTTCCATTCCTCTGTGTTTTTTGCTTTTGTTTTCCAATTTCTTATGCTCATTTCTTCTAAATCCTGCTGCACACTGTCTTTCCATCGTTTTCTTTGTTCTCATAAATCTTAAGCGGTATTCACATACCCGGCAATCTTGTCACATGTCCATTTTTGATTGTATCACCTTCAGTTAGTCGTGTTAGTCCGTAGTTGTATCTTATGTGATACATCCCGTTTTCTTTCACGGGGTCAAAAATTTTTTTGAATATTTTCCTTTTAAGCACTGTTATCTTGCTTGCTTCAGTTTCAGTTAATCTCCATGTCTCGCAGCTATATGTTACTACTAGATGAATCAATGTTTTGTACATGTTTTGAACATACTTTTAAATATTTGTTTGCGTTTTTTATATATTAGCTTAAATAGTACCACAAAAATGTTTAATTAAACGTTTTTCAACAATAAAAATGTTTTACGGGAGTTTCTTTTCTGCAGAAAATAATTGTTCCACGCTTCTAACAGCTCTTTTGTGTTTCTCCTTCCTTGTTGAACATTCATCTACTACGTAACCGTCTGAAATTTGGCAGAAGCCGTATATACACTCTAAGTTGTTTCTTCCTCAAGTGTTTGTCCGATATTAGTAGTATAGGTATTTTTAATATATCACAATTATTTCTCTAACAAAAATAGAGTTATCTTTAGCCAAAATTGCTTAGAAGAGCTAGTGTAACTTTAAACTGTAATATTAGAATATACCACTGTTACGGCCTAAATAAGTAATGTCTGTTGTGAGACCAACCGCGACTAGTGTTTACCATCTACTACTATAAGACGTTTCGGTTTTGTGTTAAATATAAAAAAAATCTTTCGCGACCATTATTTTTTCATATTGTAGTAGTATTTATATTAAAAAAACGGAATAGATCTTCAATTATTGCCCTTCCAAAATAGTTTTATGTGAACTTTTAAGTTGTACCTAGAAATTTGTCTATAATTCTGTTTTTTTGTTTTCCATTTGTCTATAATTCACCAGATACAGCACTTTTAGGAATTCTTGGTATAATTCTTCTTGACCATATCGCATATTGCTCTAACAGTTTTTTTAAAAATTCCCCACTGATTTTCACTTGTACTCCCATTACCTTTAAGATGTATTTTTAACAATTACTCGCAATTTTTTTTTGTTTATAATTTACAAGATACAGCACTTATAGTTATTTCTTGAACTATTCCTTTTGAACATATAATCACTTAAAGTATTGCTCTAACAATTTATTCAATAGATTTCCAATAATTTTTTTATATACTCACATCGCTCACAACAACACCAATTTTGTATAATTTCATATCTTGCATTGCATCTGTTGAGTGACCCACTTCATTAAATGCTTTTGTCGCATCCTTACCACCGCAATCCAGTATTATATCTTCACCTCCAGGATGCTAATAGTAAGAAACTTTATTATTTAAAATTGAAAGCGTATGCCTTGATCTTCATACATCTTTAAGCATTTTTGATACATCATAGACTGAACCCTTTATAATTATCCAACATGGTTGACCATTTTTACCGTTGTTCTTAGCTACTTCACTTGCTGTATAGCTTTCCATTACTCTTTTTTTTTTAGTAATAAATTAAAAATTTTACAAAGATATTTCTTGCGATGCGATTTTCCACCGACGAATTATTAATGTTAACAGTGATGTTGTCTTCATATTTCGATGGTTTTTATAACTTTTAACAGTTTTCATTTCGGTACAAAGTTGGTAAGTACAATAAGTTTATAACAACTTTTAACAATTTTATATAACATATAAAAGAAATATACATAAAATCTAATCCAGCAGTTTTATCAGGGTCGCTCTGTTCATCAATACTGGGAACTAGTATCCTGTTCATTTTTATTCTATATACGGATATAATAAGGATGAACAGATAGAGAGAACGGGTCAATTCAATAAATATACATACAAATGGATTACAATAGATACAATGTACTGAAAAAAAGACGAAAATGTGTAATATTTTAAATCCCCTATAATTTATATAAACTAAATGTCTAATATTAACGGTCTAGTATTAGAGATGAACTTCGAAATGTCTACTTCTCTTAAACATACCTTGCAAACTGAATCTCTACTACATGTATAGCAATTTTAATCCAACATTTATATAGTTTTGCACAACTCATATTTACTTAAACTTTATTGCGACATCATATTTTAGGGCACTCTTTTCTTTTTCTATCCCCTAGGACACTCTTATAAAATCTTGGGTTAATACCAAATTTATTATCCTTTACAAACTCCTAATTATAGCCCAATCAGCATTTTGCTGTCGTCAGTTCTATTCACTAAAATAGCAGAGATACACTATTACGCTTTCCATTACTTGGTGCCGAATTAAAGATTTTTCTGGACGGAACATATTTGCTCAATGTCCATATCTAGGTATAATCTATACAACTCATCATGCCATATAATTCGAATACCTTCTCATTAATTTAGAAAATTTCATAACACGAAATTCGTAGAACGTAGTTTTTGTCGAAAGTTTTTTATTTCTCGTTTGTCTACTTAGCCCTCAGTAGGATCTGTTGGCAGTTGTTTGTTTTCTAAATCTTTGGGTTGATATAGTAGTGAACAGTCAGCCCAAAGGTGTTCAGAAGATTTGTTTTTTTGACAGAACACACTTTGTTTTGTAGCATTTATATTATTTGATAATTTTATTCAACATCTCTACCATTACATTGGTACATAGATAGGTCAACGTCATGTTAATAAAGTACGTATAATATCTAAGGTTTTTTTTCAATACTAGAAGAAATATCTGACAATGGTTAACTTGAACTATAAAAGAGTATGGTTTATTACAGCACTTTTTTTTACAGTAATATTTTTTTTTTGCAGTACCATAGTAAGCTCAAAGTCCAGAAACTAAGCGGTTTAGTAAAAGTAAATGTAAGTTTTAAACTTGGTGTATATAACACTCATGTTTTGCGATAAAGGTTTTCTCAAGCTTTAAAAACTTTCTATAACTAAAAATTTTTTATCGATAATTATTTATAATTACATATTTACAATTTATTTGCAATATATATTTCTTATTTTTATTTGAAATTTTAGATCTTCGGATTAATATTTAATAGATGAGACCTAATTTTTGAAATTTTTTAATGTGAAAAATTTGATTGAAACATGTCTTACATTGTCACTATAACCGACTCCTATCTTTCATACATTTCACATTCGACAGAAGTATCTAATTATTTGCTTAGACCTTATCACAGAATTGATTTGATTATTAATTGTCTTTACTCGTTTTTTCAAAATCGTTTCGATATTGAGCATTTCTTATCAATGAAACATTTCTAGACGCATTGTATGACATGTATATAAGGTATGTGAGTCCTAACTTACATACTCGGAAATGTTGTCGATATATAAGACGACACATCATTCATTGTCAATAATGCCCTAATATTGCAATCAATTGTTGTGGTCGGCGTTTTGTCTATTCGTCGGGGTAAGATAACAAATACGTGCCATAGTTTTGCAAGTGATGATAAGGCAATACGGATTTTTGAACCGCATAAAGTGTTTAGTAGAGATTGATTGTGAGTTGTGAGACTACTTGTAAATCGGTGGTGATTAACCTTTGTTTTCTTTTTATTTAGTACACAAACTTATTTACAATTTAATATTTCATTTTGTTATATAAAATGTTTTAGAGTGAATATATTATTTTTATTTTAACAAGAGTTGTACTAGTGTTATCCGAACAAGTGTACATATGTAAAGTGCCGGTTTTAGAAAATGGTCCGAAAATAAACAATTCTTAGAAGATTTAAAATTATTAATTAGATATAAAGGTGTTATATATATGATAATAAAACCAGAAGCCACGTTTAAGGTGTTTTTAAATTTTCTTTCATATTTCAAGGCTAGTTGATTTAGTGTACTTAAGCACTTTTACTCTCTATTAACTGCGAAGTTTCTTCATAACCCCCCTTTACCGCTTGACTGGATTATTGTTTATCACTTCATTAGACTAAGCAATAATTGACCTTCTGAGATTCGAGAACGCGGTGTTGATAAGCCTCTCAGTTTTCGTAAATAACTTCAGGGCTCTATCCTTTACGTATTTTTTGATCGGATCAATCTTGAGGTCCGTGAGGATGTCATTCGCCGTAATGTAACATGGTATCTTGAAAAGATATCATGGAATAGCGGTTGGAGGTCATGAAGATTTTTGGCACAGCTAATTTTTATGTTTATATTTTTATATTTATATTGTTGTTCTTAGACGGACTGAACTTTTGTGCTTAATTTATTGATGCAGAGTACTAAGGAGTACTTGGGTTGAGATGGGATATGCTGTTGTTGTAGCTCGCGGGAACCTGCTTGTGTAGTCTCTTTGGGAGGCCGTTGTTGGATAAATAAATTTATCTTGTTGTTGTATCTTGTTGAATGGATTACATAAGGAGTACATGGGTTGGGATGGGATATGTTGTTGTTGTAGCCCGCTGGAACCTGCTGCAGTCCCTTTTGGGAGGTCGTTCTTGGAACTGGAATAGGATTTAAGTGCGGGGTTTACGTGTGATGTCAATTTTAGCTAGCCTGGGTCAAAAAAGTTTGCCACTTCGATGTTTGGAATCATGAATTAATACAGATAATAGACGTGTTTCACATAAATTTATAGTTTCTTTCAGAAATTGGATTGCTATAAATATAGTAAGTAGTCCATTCTCACTGCTTTTTAGACAATTTTATCATATATAATTCCATTTTGCATAAAACCAATTTATGCATTATTATTGTATAATACAAAAAAACTAAATAGCTATTCAAATAAAATCAAACGAATTAGTTAGCAATAAAAATTAATTTGAATTTATTTTGCACTCTTTTTATGGTATTATTTTTTCCACCTCAAATATTGAATATTTTTAATATATTTATATTTAATATATTATATTTAATATATTTATTTTAAATATTTTAAGAAAAAAAATGTGTATACAACATTTAAAGTGTAATAATTTCAATTTGAATAATTTGATTTTGTTTTTATTTAATATTTTAATTAACATTATATAACGCTTTTTATATTATATTTAAAATAATATGTAGAAAAAATGCACTTAAAAATAGTAGTAAATATTTTTTTTATGTTTTTACTATTTAAGCTAATAGTTCTTTTAAGAATAACTTATAACGTACATTATGTATATATATATTAATGTAAGATATAATTATATATATATATGTGTATTGTATTTTACAGAGTTGAACACTTAAAGTGTTTCATTATATTTAGGCTTATATTAATTATAATTTATAATTTTTAGTTTAAAGTCACTGTGAATTTGTTTCTTTTTTTTTTATTATAATATTGAAGTTTTTTTATATACTATAATAAAAAATAAAAACAATTTTAATAGTTTTAACATACATACAAAGCTTGTAATATATTTTTGAAAATATGTTACATATTTTTTATAACATACATTTATGAGTACTTTTTTTACTCTTTAATAAACTTTTTGATTAATTATAAAAATTTATGGTTAAGTATTACTTAAAGTTTTTATCTGAATTTAGAAGTGAATATTTGGATATCGAGAGCAGATAATATTATGAATATTTCAAATAAATAATTAGGCTTAAAAACGTTTAACGCCTGGTGACGTTACATCATAGTACAGTTACTGTTTATTTCGCGTAAAGAATTCTAACTAAAAATATAATTCTTAAAATAATTTTATATATTTATTATATAAATTTTTCTAGCAATATATGAAACTATAATTAGCAGTTTTCTCAGTACGCACGCATGCGCACCATTTACGACAAATGCGTCTATATTTCATTAAGTGATATTCATAACTAACAATAGAAATTAAAAATTATTTTATAATATAAGAAAATAAGTTACAGTAGCGGATATATATATATATATAGATTTATATATATGTAAGATCATATACGTATATAAAAATATTAAAAGCATATTATTTAATTAGACATGCCTGCACAAACATACTGACAAAAAATCAAGCAAACACACATATATACTATTGAGATATATTTACAACAACAAGCACTAATTTATATGATTAACAATTTTTTCTAATAAGAAAATTACACATTAAAATACAAAATTATTCTATCATACATTTTGTAGTGAATTAAACTGTTACTACTACAGCATGATATCATTGGATAAACATATATTATTGCTTTTGCATTTGGCTGAGTGATACGTGATACAGTTTTCACATTTTTTTTTGACAGTTCAATGGAGTTTTAATAACTGAATTATTGAGTTTTTAAATTTTCATAAAAAACCTTTCTCACAATATTCCATTCGTGTAGTACTGATACCCATCGTACAATTTTGTTGAAAGGCTTTTTAGTGAATCTTGTACTAATTGCTCAACTTTCCGCTCCATTTCCTGTTCAGTTAAGTTCATATGGAAACGTTTACGAAGATTTTGTACAGTACCAGAACAACCATTTTTAAAGCATGGCAATTGAGCATCTAAAATGATTAATTTATTAGATAAATATTTTTTGAAAAAAAAAATTTATTTTTATCAACTTACTGCTACGCATAATTTCTACGAAATTTATTATGCGATCCATATGTTTTCGTGCTGACATCATTCCTACAAGCAACAAATGTTTAAATTCTCTCCAATGTTCAGACTCAGTACCACCCATAACATCCACAAATTCAGGGGTCAACTTAAAAGGCGACTGCTCAAAACCTGTGAAATTGTTTAAAAAATTTGAGTTTATTTTATTATTATTCGTATTTATCATCTAAATTACCTAAATTCTTGGGTGATATACTCAATATAAATCCAAAATCAATGTGAATTATATGACCATCCGAATGTAGAAGTATATTGCCATTGTGGCTATAAACAAGCAAACATTATTATATTATATTGTATAATATATGGTATTATATTGTTTGATTTAAAAGCATTTTTTACTTACCGATCTTTAACTTGCAGTAAATATGATATAAGACAGTAAGCTGCACAGCTTTGTACAAAATTCTTTTGGGCTAAACGGAATATATCACTGTCAGCAGCACCATACTCATCGATAAAGTAGTCTCGTAAGGACTTGTTGGAGTTTTTCTTGATTTGATGCAATGAAACGGTATTTAAAATGGGTTCTATAAGACCACTATCATTGGAGAGACAAACGATTTTATATGGACGAACCCAAAGATCAACGTTTTCCTCTTGCCAAATTATTTTGAACATCTAAAACGAAACAATAAAGAAATATTAATAAATAAAATGTATTAATATAAAGTAAAAGATTACATAAAAGTTATGAGCAATAATTATAGAATCGGTTAGGTTAATTTAGCGGTCGTTTAGCCACACACAAAGCTTTTGGTCTCTAGAGATACTAGATAAAATAAAGTAAATTTGCAGTAGGCATCATGTAGGATATAGATACATTGTACGAATCTAAGGTTGTTTAAAATTGAACTCTTGAGATGATTTAAATAAAACAGAAAACAAGTAGAGAAAAATACTTATCAAAGTAAATTTTTTGTGTTAGCAATCGATTCTACCCGAAAGAAAAACACTCAGCTCTTCAAATTAAGGCCACAATGTCTCAATGTTTGACAATTTAGAACATTGATTATGCTTCTTACCTGCAGTAATTGAGTAGCCATCAGTTCCTGTCGTAAGTCGTCTCCGCACTTTACAATAGCTGAAAGCAAGCGCCAATTTGATAAATGTCCGTAAGGAGAGGAATCACGTATTTGCTTTTCTTTTTCATGCCAAGGTTCCTATTTATTTGAAAAAAACAATGTATTATAAATACAACAATAAATAATAATAAAAAACTTACCTTTAAAGCAGCAGCAGAAGGATCTTCTGGATCATTACAAAATGATTTCGTATTTTCACAATTTAAATTGTTACAATGTCTGGTACGTACATCACCAATGTTAAAAAGTACTGGAGTACCTAAAATATATTACAGTTATATAATTAAATATATATAAAATAACATATAAAAAGAAAATACTGATATTTACCTTGATCCCTCGAATCACAAGAGTCCAACGACATTTGCGATATGGCATCTCTTTCACTAATCTTATGTAAATTCATGTATTGTGCAGTTATATCATCATCTTCCTGCGACCATACATCATCCTCCGCTACACATAAGCCTCCCAATGACATATTAGCATTACAGCAATTTTGTTGCCCATCTGTTGGTATTTGCGCCGTACCATGTGCTTCTGAAGCTATTGACGATGATTCAGAGATAAGTTTTTCCTTTTTTCGTCGAGCACTAGAGCTACCACCTGTACTATGACTGCTACAGCTAGACGTGCGGCTGCAATTTACATGATGTATTTGCCCGCAACACATACCTTCCAAATGCTCTTCGCTCTTTGTGTGTCGTAATGATGGCATCATTTTCGGTATTAATGGTGAAGTATAAATATCTGGCACTTCAACAACTTCCACATAAATAATATATGGAGTTTTATCTTTTGAATTTAAAACAGCAGTCTTTTCCTCTGTTATACGCACAACATGGTGCGGAATGTCCGAGTAGAGTGGAAGCCAAACTCGTGCAGGCAAATTTTTATTTATTAAATTTAAAAACATACGTAAAGCGGATGTTTTTTCAGCTTTGGAAGGTAAGGAAGTGAGATTTTTGCCTACATTAATAAGCGCCTTCATGAATTCCTTTTGTGGTGCTGTTTTTGGAGCCCCACAGGAACAAACAGTCTTTTGACCAAGCAGTCCATTAACCTAAAATTGTAAATAATTAACTTTACAGATTGCTTTACAGATATATGTTGTAGTAAGTAATTTACCTGTCCGCGGACTGATTCAAAGCAAGTGCATCCGTTATCAAAAGCACGCCCAGAGGTCAAATCACCGAGACATAGTTTAGCTGGTGTTACTTGGAGTGTTTGTGTTGTATAGGGAGGTTGCTGGTACAAGCGATTCGATATGCTTAAAGTGCTAGACATTGGATGTCGACGTGAATCAGACAATAGCACAGTTGCGTCCGATTGCGAGCGGTGGTGAGTTTTCTTAGTTAATGGGGATACAGCCACAGCAGCCACTGCTGATGTATTGGTAACATCTTTATTATCATTTTTATTAAGGATTTTACGTTCCTTCCGTGAAAATATTTCTTTCATTAGTGCTAATTGTGATTTACGTCCCGAATTGCTTAGCACATCTATTTGATAATTATAAGCTTCCAGTAACCATAAACATTTCAATGAAAAATCTACAGATTTACGACAACGTATAGTTAAATATGGATCTAAAACTTCTGCCAACTCATCCATTTGTATATACATAACAATTAATTGTGGTATGTACAAATCAACTTCTTGATCGGGAAAATTGAATATTTTATTACCAATAAAACTTAGTACACCAGGTTCTTTAGAATAAAATAGATAGTGTACAGCAAAGTGTATATTGAAGACGGGAGATTCGAAAAATCTCAGCAAACCGCTGGGACCCTTTTCAGTCTTTTGTTGTGTGTCACTGACGTGGGGACGCTCCTTAATGAAGCACTTAACCATACCAGGCACTTTTAGTTTATTTAGTGATGAAATGGAAGATGATTTCGAAATCGAAGATGTGTTAGATGCGGAAGCACCTGGCAAGTTGAGGTGTATAGTTTTTTCAGTATTCTCTGAATTCTTTTCCGTTTCAGGAATTAAAGATTTGACATCTGCTGGCAATTCAATAGAAGGTGTTGTGGCTGGTGTATTTGTGGCAGATGCCGATGCAGCTGCTGCAGCAGCGGCAGCGGCCGCAGCAGCCTTTTTACTTGCACTTGAAGTAATAAGACCAAAAAATTCTTTCTTCTTTGAAATGTCAGTAGGCGACTTTACTTGATCTTGTGTAGTATTGCCCTCTTCTGTTTTATTTTTTGCTGCATTCTTTTTTTCATGATTTTCTATAATGCTTTGTGCGGTGCGGAATATAGCATTTTTAGTGGCACCAAAGAAGTTCTTGAAGAGCACATCATTCTTTGTTGATTCATTTGTTGACGCATCTCCAGTTTTTAGTGGTTTACCGGGTAAAGCGTTAGTAGGTGATGCTACTAAAGATAATGGTAAGTTTGCCGTTGGTGTAGCTGCACTTGCATCTACCACGTCAGCAGTAGGTGTCTCAGCTTCAGCGTCGATAATTGGATCACCAATTTTACGCTCCAAATTTATAGCTGCTTGAGACATATTCATCTCTCTGTAACGTATACGCTCATTAAGTTCTTTAGTGGTATTATTGTCACCACCAGCGGCAACATCATTATCAATATTATTTTGTTTTTGTTGTTTCTGTTTACGTGTTGGTCTCAGAGTACGACAATCTGTATCAGGCGACTGATAAAAGCACAGGTCCGACTGAAGAATGCCATATTCTTCATCCATCGATGTTGTTTCTAGCATATCAATGCATTCTTCCTCTGCATCCATTTCACCAGAATCTAAAGATTCATGCGAGTGTCGTATACGGTTAAGTGAAATTTGGTCAGAATCAGAACCACAAATTATGCCTACAAGAGAAGAGCATAAATTAGTTAAGCATATAATTATGAAAAGAAAGAAAAGAAAAAATAACTTTATTTACTACATTTACGTTGCATTTTTGAGCCAATTTGATTTTGCGGTGTTAATTTCGTCATTTTTTAATTTTTCAAGTTGGGATATATGTAGATATATTTTAAGGTTTACAAGAATTTTGAAATTTGAAAATATTAAGTAGAACACAATGCATATTCGATTAGTACAAAGGCAACGTATGCATAAATTATTAGTGAATGATAATGCCTTACCTGAATCATCTGAACCAAGACTGGTGAGATCCTCACGTTTCTTGCTATTGCCATTGCCATTGTTGCTATTCATATTATTACTGCTGTTGGCACTGCTGTTGCTGACAATATTGCAAGTATTATTACTGTTGCTGCGCGAAGGATTCTCACTTGATTTGGGTCGTGTACGCATTGCGGGGCAGGTCGGTTCGACTGTGTATTAAAAAGTAAATAAAAAATTAATATTCCAATAAAAATAGTTAAATTACAAGTATTAAATTATTGATTGATATTACGCACCAATTACACTGAGATTTGTAACATGATGTATGGATGATAATGTAGAAGGCGATGATGATGATGATGCTGATGGTGCGGATGGTGGTGGTGGTGATAATAATAATGATGATGATGGTGTTGGTCCTGTTGTGGTAACAGTGGGTTCTGTGGTTGATACAATACCAATTGCAGTTGTATCCGCTGCTGTTGTGGATGATGATGTCAGCGCTGGAGTTGTGGTTGTGGTTAATGCTGCCGTTACATTCGCTGCGGTGGTAACTATTTTCGAGCACATCGTTGTACCAAGTATTGATGGTGTGCAAAATGTATTCTCGCTTTCAGCATTAGGTGATGAGACTTCAACCTATTATATAAATAAAAAATATATATGTAAATGAAAATGTTAATAAACGGATATAAATTTATTATGTACGTTTAATAGTTAAGTTTAAAATTAAAATTTTATAAATTAGCGGATATTGTGTCAGGAGACAATTATAAAATACCACAACAGGATTTTCTAAATGTTAAAATAAACTTTTTAATGTAAAATAGTTCCAATTACGATTAAAAAAATCTGTTAATTAAAATAGTATGTACTTAATTGACAAATAAATATGTCAACATATGTTAAGAAGTATAAAGAGTTAAGCTTAATATGTGGAAGATGAAAATCCTTTTCGTGATGGGTAGTATAAATAGGTAATTGAGAGCTTTATTAGATATATTATTATAATACTAAATTTTAGTAATTATTAAAATTAAAATATAAATTATATAAGAAAAACTATTTAACAAATAAATAGTAAAATATATGTTATACCTAGTGAAGTTCGCTCTAAGCACAAAAAAATTGAATACATAATAATTGGAGTCCGTTTGACTCATATTTGTAACTTATTATTGTTAAACAAATAAATTTTTCTTTAATATTTATATGCAAAAAATTCAAAATAATATAACATACTTATAAACCAATTTCTTAATTAATTTTAACTTATGGGTATACGTTATCAAATTTAATAAAATGATGAAAAAAAAACAATTCCTATTGTTTGTAAAAATAATAATGATTTCGACAACTACACTAACCCTTTACCCAGTATTATTTGAGCAACTTGATCTTCTCCAAGTGCGATACAATTCATTATAATGTTTCTCTATATATTCGATGCCTCTCTCGATTTATCTTTAATTTCAAAATATCGATAATCATTTCTTATAAAAGTTGTTAGATTTTTCCGTCTTGATTCTGGTTGAATTCAATTTAAATTCTACCCATTCCTTAATCCAATAATATTTTCTAATAATTGGTTACTCTCTCACACAACCATTACCCACTAATATCCTAATCGATGTATCATAGTGTCTGCTATATAGATAGAGCAACAGCAACAATAATTTTTTATTTATAATATATTTCTCTTGCTGGAACATTATTTTTAGGTATGCAAACAAGTGATAATATCTGAGAGTGAGATTTAGAGAATACAATGGCTGGGGAAGTGGTATAATGAATGATCGGTTTGTAATATGAAGAATTATCTTGGGGTAAGAATGAACACATTTTTTTTTCTTAATTTGGCGTCTTTTTTGCAATTTATTCCTTTATTTAATATTGATTGGTTTTTTGTTTTTTTGTTGTAAACAATAGGTACTTGCATTTTATATCCTTGATAGGAGGGTAAGGTCGTCTGTGTAGACGAGTGATTCCGTGACATATACCCCTGCCGTTTTTAATATCTCAAGGAATTTATTAACTAAAATAAACTCGTTAAATATTATCATCTAACTAACTAACTTATTGATTGACGAAATATAAAAGTAATATATTATATTATGATTATAGTATAATAGTATAATAATTTCGTTTATTATAGTTTCGTTAACATAACATTATTTTTTGCGAGGTAAAATAAAATAAAAACTTTCAAACTAAAAATATAATTTTTGTTTGTTATAATACAAAAATAAATATAAACAATTGAGTAATTTTACCCACCTCTGGTATTCTCTGCAATGCGCTGTCTAAACTGCGATTTCGATGATGCTGCGTAAGATTAATGCGTGTGTTTGTCACCTGTGAGACAGGTGGCAATAAAATGCCCATAGATCTGTAATAATAAAATGACATTAATTAGTAAAATATTCACTCATTTAATATAACATTTATAAATAATAAAAGAACTTATTAAATCTCAGAAATTGTGAGAAAATTATCATACACACAAAAGAAACAAAAAAGAAACAAAAAAAAAAACAAAAATCAATGGTCAAAAACTATCATTGAATCATTCTTCTTCGACACTTTTTATTGCATGAGAACAAGAACCAGTACAAGTCCACACAAGTGTAGTGTATCGCGTATACACAACACACATACCCACACACTAATGAAACAGATGGGAGGAGGTGAAGTAAGTGCCAAGATAAGTCAATATTTTTCACTTTTACTCATGAACAATATGGCAGCAAACAAACTAAATAAATTCACTTCAGATTCTTTAATTATTTTTATTACTTTATCAAATATATGATGTGATAAAAAAATTTATTGATAAATATCGCAAATTTTTTTTATATTAAAAATAAAGTCAACGATTACAGAATCAGCTGTTTTTTCTTTCGACTAGTATAACACATAACACAAAAAGAAAAAAGTATGGAATCATTTGCATTTTTAATTTTTACCTGCTTTCGTTTTTCTTTTATTTGTTTTGTTTCTTTGCACTAATTATGTTGTTTTTATATGAAAACTGTTGACTCATTTATTAATAATAATAAAATAGTAAATTAGAAAAATAATAACAAAAATTATGTAAAAACAAAACACCACAAATAAGCCTCAAAGGCCAAGATAGACTGACTAACGCAAAAATCACAAATACACGAATCAAAATTGTTGGAATGCTACAATTGAAACGCGAAGTAGATAAAGTTCAGCGGGTTGGAGTTAGGTGACGTTGGAAACGGCAGAGTAACTATAGTACTATCGCAAGAAGAAGCAATACTTAAGCTAATAAAGAGTAGAATTGTTTTGGTGAGTACAAAGTCACAGCGAGAACGTCAAAGAATAAGAGAAATTTATTTGAAGTGTTGGCAAATTTGAACAGAGATGTTATATTATTTTTAAATCATTTAAATATATTTAGAAATTATGGATTGTGTTTATTAGGTGTGAAAATATTTTATGTATATTAATAAACTTGTTAAAATACTTCTAAAATATATATTAAAATTAAAATGTGCGTTTTGTGAGAACGATTTCAATTGTATTAATTAATTATGATGGTAATGATGATGGGTATTAGGCAATACTCGAAACAGCTTTATGGTTAGGCAAAAATTCAATTAATTAATAAATAAAGAATTTTATTGTTGTAATTTACTACTATATTATTAAATATTAATTAATTATTTTAAGCTTTTTGTTAATAGAAATTTTTTTTTAATATTTTCCAATTTTAAATTCAATGTTTATATATCTCAATTGTTTTTATTTTTGTTTTTTCAATTTTTATTTGCAAGATCCTTGTAAAAATTTTAAATTTATTTTTATCTTACATCTCATTTATTGCATTTGATTTTTAACAAGTCTTTATTAGATTTTAGTGTACAGCGAAACGTAAAATTAGTAAAAACCAGTAACAACTAATAAAAATTTTACTAACGGGAACTTATTTAAAATAATTCACTAATGTTTTTAAATATGGGTATTGAATTTTAAAAGGTGCGATGTTAAATAGCACTATTACTAAACTACACTTTAATAGAGCTTATCGATTTTACGAATGTTAGAAAAAGATAATATAAAATAATATTAGAAGTTATCGGTGGCACGCAAGTATGGTAAAAAACAGCAAGTTGCTAGCCTACACTGGCTGAAATGTACGCAAAACAACAACATTATTTTCTCTACCTAAGCTGGTAGTTGCTTACTGGCCAAACACTTCGGCTAGTTAAGAAAAAACGAAATGTTATCAACGAAATAAGTGAACTATTAACACATGTCAAAAATCATATGTAAACAAAATTTGTAACAATATTCCAAAATATCATAAATTTGAAAATTGGGTAAAAAGTGAAATTTCATAGTTTTATTTTGAAATCTCCAACATTTTTACCACTGCTTTTAATTCACTATTCATTTTAATTTTTAATTCATATTAATAACTGATTTTTATACAAAATTAAATTTGCTTGCATTATGTAGATGTGATAAAACATAACACTTGACAGATTAGCGAATATAGGCCAGCATGCATTTTTTGCCACACTTGCGAGCCACCGAAAACGCCTTTTATTATGTAGTCTGAATGGGAATACTTAAAATAATATTAAATACTCTGTTTAAATGCATATATATATGTATATATATATATATTTGCATTTTTATATTAAGTATGAAAAAAAAAATTACAACAAAAGTAATAATAAAATAACAATAATATAAGAATATTCGCAATTTTTTCTTTCAAAGTTGTAAAAAACCAATATTAAGACTGGTTGAAACAAATTCGCATTCACTTTTAAAATATGTTAAATGGGTTTTTTTTAAATAAATACTAAAATAAATAGAAATATTACTATAATAAATATAAATAAATAAAAACTATAAAAAATTAAATATTAAACACAACAAGCAAATATTTTGTGAGAACTGACTGGAATTTGGTATATATTCCCAAAACTCATTGTGAACTGCTTATCGATTGTGATTTCAAAGAAGTTGGGTTAAATAAGCAAGCAGTGTTCTTTTTCGTATGTTTTCTTTTAAAATAAGAGTTTGTATTTTTACAACATACATATTACATACATACAAATTTTACATATTAGGCGTAATCTTATATCAAATATGAATGGCAAATATTTGTGATTTTGAAGTGGCGTTTAACATGAAAACGAATGTGATAGCGTTGTTGTGATCATGTGGCGAATACAGTGTTTACCGCAATCTTTTAAACAGTTTGTAGAGACTACTGAAACCCTATTTATTTTATTTTTAACAAATGAAATCAATTATGATATGTTAAGTTATTCAAAAAGTTAAGATATGCGAAGATTTTTTATTTTAACGATTTTATTTTTTGTCATTATTGCTTAAAATTGAATATAATTTTAAAAAGTATTATTATTAAAAAAAAAAGTATTATTAATATATATTATTATAATATAATAATATGTACTAATAAATGAAAATAAGATTTTTCATAATTAAATATTTTCCAACACTGTAAATGAGAGTAGCACAAGAGCAATCCCACTCGCAAAGGTGTTCATTTTTTATAACAATTATTGTTGTTGCCATACGGCTGGTTGTGCTTTGTTTAAATAAACCAAACAAAACAATATAACAGAAATAATTAAAAAAAAATATTAAAATTAAAAAATAGATTAAAATAAAAAAAAGAAATGATAGTAATATATAAAAATGTTGAAAAAAAAGATATTATAAAATGAGAAAAACTAAGAAAAAAGATTACTTTAATAAGAAGAAATAGTAATTCGACTACAAATAAGAAATAAGAGAAATAAGTTTTCGTTTTAATATAAAACCGAATTAGCAGAACCAAAGTTATTCTCCTTGTTAAGGAATATAATTGGGTACATGACGTATACGCAACTTTTTAATTAAAAACTAAAGGAAAAAAGTTTTGCAGCTCAATTAAAGGTGGTTTAATGAACTTTTCAAGCTGCAAAAAAATAAATAAATTCTAAATAATTTATGCAATTAATTGTGTGTATAAGTGAAGTTTAGACTACGTATGGTTTTTTTATAAGTTTTATTCAAATTGTAGCTTTATAGCTGCAGGGAATAATTAAAAGTTGCCAGCAAATATTTTTTGTGTTCGTTTTTGTGTCTTCCTCGTTTTGGACTACACGGTGTATGAGTGACATTCAATTAGGAAGCAAAGTAAACTGTTTGCTAATTAGTGTGAGCATGCATAGTTGAAGAGATAGAACTAGGAATGCGTGGGGTGATAGTTTTATTTATAGTAGTTCTAAAATAAGCAATGATAACAAATAAAAACCTACGAGTAATTTGATTAAAAAAGTTTTTAGATTTTAAATTTAAGTGTTTTTTTATTGCTTTTTGTAAAAATTACTTTTATTCTATTCTCTAATTTTAACTTATAAAATAAAAATATATAAAGTTTCATAAGATATTTTATTTTAGAACTTATAGTTCTTTCATTTTTATTACTTTTAAAACCAGTTGTGCAAAAATCTATGAGTAGCTAGAATTAAATACTTAACAAAAGCAACTTATTTAATTTAGAAATAAAAATTGCTTATTCGATTAGATTATCTTTTTATTACACGTTTATATTGCTGATATAAGAACATATAATTAATTATTAATAAACATATAACTTTCATTTTTTAAATATGTTTTTTGAATTTTTGGTTATTTTGTATGTAAAAAGTGTGTAAATATTTTCTGAATATAAATTATATTGTATATAGTACAAAAAATTATTTCTATAATAGTTAATATAAAAATTTTTTTTGAATGATTGTGTTGGAGTATCTACTATAATCATATAAATATTTTAAAATCCGTGAAACATGGATATTTTTCTTATTTAATTTAAAAAAATTTGCTTAATCTTGTTAATGGAAAATTGAACCAATTATTTAGTACTAGAGTCACTGAAAAAGGAAATATTAGTTGCCCAATTCAAAGATTTATTTGAATATATTTGAGATAATTTGATAATACTGATAATATGAATGTCAATATAACAAACCTTGTGAATGGAGTTGGAACCTAATCGTTAATATATTTTTGAGTAACAGTAGAGAGATATTGGAAGAGCTATTCAAATGACGGATATTCTTATACTATTAAAGTTTCGCATTATTGCATATAATTATTAAAGTATGATAGTGTAATATCTTATGTTATAATGTCAGAATTAATGACAATGATTCAATTACATTTATTCGTTTTACTTTTAGAAGGGGAAGGTATATACAGTATTTTAATGGGAATCCAAATCTTAACATCTCAGGAATTGCATTTATCTTGAGATATTTATATATTTGTTTATTCAATATTTAGTGAGTTTCATTTCATTACCCGTCATTAAGTAAATATTGTACGACTAGGCTAGGGCCAACTTTCCAAGTTATTTGATTTAAAGAGTTTCAAAACCAAATACCATAAAGTGAAAAGAGTTTTTAACAGTTTCTTACATCACAAATGTAAAGAATAAATATATAAAATTTAACATTTTTTTATCGCGAAGCTTGTAGTTTCCAAATGAAATATTTTCATTAATGTTTCTGGAGAGTCGAAATATATTCAAACTTATACAAAAGCTCCTAAATAGTTTTCAAATGGGATACCAATATCTAAGAAGTGAATGTTAGGGAGCAGAATGCCTGCCTTGGCAAGCTCTTCTGCTGTACAGTTGCCCAAGACTGGAAGTTATTCCAATTAATAAACTGCACACCTACGATAAGTATCCGGCAGAAAAGTTGTTACTGTTTCATAATAAACTGTTTCTAACTTGCTTGTGTTAACGTATAAAATTTAACTAAATAAATAAAATAAGTTGAGAGTTTAAAACTGATATTATAACAAGCTTCGAATAACATATATGGGTTAAGTGACTCTGTTACTATAATGAAGAGGCATTTCAACTGCAATGTTTTTCTCAAAAAAAAATTACATTATAAGTTCAAGAAATTCTGTATTTTTTATTTATGGAATGAATTCTTATTT